TTCAACGATCTCACATGTTTTTATTATTTTCTTATACAAGTATTGAGGCACATGGTCTCTCGGTTCCACCTGCATGTGCAAATATCTGGCTCATTTAAGACTATAGAACCTTTATTCTCAATAACAATGGAACTCGCAGGTGGAGAATACGTTTACTCTTCCGTATATTTATTACCTGTAAAGGGAGTATTTGTAGGAGTTCATACGTTATTGTCCCTTTGTTGCTGCGCTGCATATTTGTCCTTTTAGTCCTTTCAGACTCTGTCAATATATGCTTTACATTTCTGATTCTTTGTTTCCTCCCCTCTGTTAGTTATGCTTGCACTTTTTCATATAACAATCCGCAAGCTCCATTTTTCTGAACGTTGCTGTTCTCTGCGGTTTCTTGCAGAAAACACGCTCCCAAGTGTGCTTGCTGGCTCTTCTCTGATTCCCATCTTTAGGCTCGCCACTTGATTTCTCGGCGTTTGATTACCGAACACTCGAGTGGCAACTGGATATGTAGTCGCTGCCGAGTTGGAAAAGGGCAATCAAAATGATCAGGGATCTCTGGGGCAACTGCTCTGCAAGGGGGAAAATTGCAGCTTTGGGGGCTTTTTAGCTGAGGAAATGCAAGTAAAAAAGGAGGGTTAATGACAGAAAAGTAGAGACATCACCTTGCCAACAAAGGTCCGTATAGTTAAAGCTATGGTTTTCCCAGTAGTGATGTATAGAAGTGAGAGCTGGACCATAAAGAAGGCTGATCGCCGAAGAATTGATGCTTTTGAATTATGGTGCTGGAGGAGACTCTTGAGAGTCCCATGGACTGCAAGAAGAACAAACCTATCCATTCTTAAGGAAATCAGCCCTGAGTGCTCACTGGAAGGACAGATCCTGAAGCTGAGGCTCCAATACTTTGGCCACCTCATGAGGAGAGAAGACCCTCTGGAAAAGACCCTGATGTTGGGAAAGATGGAGGGCACAAGGAGAAGGGGACGACAGAGGACGAGATGGTTGGACATTGTTCTCGAAGCTACCAGCGTGAGTTTGACTAAACTGCGGGAGGCAGTGGAAGACAGAAGTGCCTGGCGTGCTCTGGTCCATGGGGTCACGAAGAGTCGGACACGACTAAACGACTAAACAACAACACAATGACAGAGTGTAATAAACTTTTGCAGGGCATGCAGAAAGTAGATGGAGACAGAAATCATTGGAGACGGCTGCTTGTCGTGATGGTTGTTGCGCAATCTCCATGATCAGATCTGAATGCCAGTCACTAGGAGTTGCAAGAGTTGCACTCATCTCTTGCTTCCGGTAGACATCTGGTTAGCTCCTGTGTGATAGGGGTTGGTTCACTAGGCAAGCACTTCACAGAATCACAGTATGGTAGCGTTGGAAGGGGACCACAAGGGTTCATCTAGTCCAACCATCATCCGAAATTCGCCAGGCACCAGGCTCAGTTTGCACCTGGCTATTGGCCGCTTGTGACCGAGTGAAGATGCCCATGCCTGACATCTCTGCACGTCTGGCGATCCTTTTATCTTGCCTGTTTTCACACACTAGCAACGCATCCTGTAGAATTCTATCCGTGATACTTTAGCTGCACAATCAGAACGAATTTCAGGAGCCAGAAAGTTGTACGGTGGTACCCCAAGTTACAAACGCCTCAGGTTACAAACACTTCAGGTTACAAACTCCGCTAACCTAGAAGAGTTAACTCGAGTTGAGAACTTTGCCCCAGGATGAGAATGGAAATCGTGTGCCGGCAGCGCAGCGGCAGCAAGAGGCCCCATCAGCAGAAGCACTAGAGGCAGTTAAGAATAGTTTCAGGTTAAGTACGGACCCCCGGAATGAATTAAGTTCGTAACTAGAGGTACCACTGTATTGGAAAAGTACGACTTTTGAGCTGTTCGGCCCCAAAATGACAACTAGGCATTCTGTTTTGGTGACTGTAACCCCTGGTTTAAGGAGCCATTTGCTGCCTAGCTTATATATACAAGTTTCTAACACTGAGTCCAACATCCTGTTCTTAACTGTCTCCATTGGTAAGGGCCCCATCTATGCATTTGAAGTGGCATCCCTCAGACCTTGTGGGAGGGCGGACTATCTTGAGGGCGGGGGAATGAATGAATTCCTATGCCCCACAAATAACCCAGAGATGCATTTTAAATAAAAGCACACATTCTACTCATGTAAAAACACCAGGCAGGCCTTCCAAATAACCCAGAGATGCATTTTAAACAAAAGGACACATTCTACTCATGTAAAAACACGCTGATTCTTGGACCATCCGCGGACCGGATTTAGAAGGCGATTGGGCCAGATCCGGCCCCCGGGACTTATTTTGCCTACCCATTATATACCGGTATATCGTAGATCAGGCAAAGCCTTTCACTTCAGTTGAAAGGAACACTCTGCCCCTGGTATACCCATATGCAATGGCCCATTCACACATGGAAGGAATCGCTCCCGACATCCTTTTTATTCCTCAGTCAAGATGACTTGCGGTCAGGATGTTACTGGGGCTGTCCCACATGGTTCCGCTTTCAACGCAGTTTGTGAAAGTTTTGGGGCGGTCACAATGCTTATCCTGTCACTTCCTGCTGAAATCTCACAACTCTTTGTATCACAAATGTTCCGATTAATTTTTGTCCCACGTCTGCGGGACTATCGCCCTTCCAGACAGTGATAATGTGGTAGCATTAAAGTGGAGAATATAAGTCCACCAAAGGCACACTGTTTTTGTGGGAAGAACAAGTTGCAGAGAACACCCACAATAAAATTGCAGACTGGAGGAACAGTCAAGGGCTGTGCATGTGTGTGAGAGAGAATTGCCACTATATCCTTTCTGGCTGATTTCCATATACAGTGGTACCTCGGGTTATATACGCTTCTGGTTACATACGCTTCAGGTTACAGACACCGCTAACCCTGAAATCGTGCTTCAGGTTAAGAACTTTGCTTCAGGATAAGAACAGAAATCGTCCTTTGGCGGTAGCAGGAGGCCCCATTAACTAAAGTGGTGCTTCAGGTTAAGAACAGTTTCAGGTTAAGTACGGACCTCCGGAACGAATTAAGTACTTAACCCGAGTACCACTGTAAAAGACCACTCACTAACCTGCCCCACAAGGACAATTTTTCTACCAGGACATCATTTCATCAGCCCCTTAAAAATATTTTTGAAGTCAAGGAGGTGACTTGACCTGTTTCCCAGTTCTGCAGAAGAGGAACTGAGGCACTAGCACATTGTTAGATTCTTCCCTATCTCCCATAAGGAAATGTACCTTTCAGCGTAGGGATTTCTCTGCCCACTCTCAATAATTTCCTGACTGAATAAGTAGTGCTCATTTCGAATTCCAAAGCCAGGACCTCCTTTGCTTTGAAGTTACCTCGGACTTCACAGGTGTAAAAGTTGCATGTTCTCCAGTCAGTCGGACTCGTGTAATTTCCTATCGCTTGAATGGAGGGCTCTGCAGGGGGCCTTCAAAAGGAAATGGATCCCCGATAGACATCATAAGCTTGTGAGGTTTAATTTGAAGGCAGCTAGCAATCTCCCCCGACAAGAAGCCGGGAGCTGGTAGGAGGAATAAATCAGCATATTCTTAGAGTTGAGAGTCCTCTGACACAAATGGAAATAAATCCTGAGAAGGAAGCTGAAGAAGACGGAAGCGTTTGAAAAGCCACTCGAATCTGCCTCCCGGGCATGTTTGCACATGGCAAGGTGCATAGGGTGGTATTCAACTACGTTTTACTTAGAGTAAACCCGCTGAAATGAACAAAGAGCACTGAATACCCCTGGTATCTGGTCCCCGAGAAGCTGACCCTCAGACAACTGAAAGAAAGTTCCCTGCCTGAATTCATGCAGAGGCAAATCTGCTATGAAATTTAACAAATATTAAGCTCCAGGTGCCCTAATCCGGGGGGGGGGGGTCCCCTGGATCAGACTTCAGTCCTCCTTGTTAAAAAACATTGGATCTAATAGTCCAGATTACGGTTGCACAACCCAATTTGACTACTATATATATGTATATGTGTGTGTGTGTGTGTGTGTGTGTGTGTATGTGTGTGTATGTATATACATGTATATATGTATATGTGTGTGTGTATATAGACAGACAGACAGACAGACAGACAGATAGATAGATATATTCAACAATCCCAAAGTTTGAGAGTGGGTAGCATAGATGTCGTAAAGGTGAACTGTCTCGGCAAGTTGGCTGTTCTGCTGAAGAGCACTTAACTTGATGCATATTGCCTCTAGAAAAGGGCATTGCAAGGAAGCTCTCATACAATGAAACTGTACATGAATAGGTTGCTAGAAAAACCAGAAAAAGAATATGTTGTAAAATGTGCTCCATGTAATATGAGATAATTCAGTTCAGCAGTTTCAATCAAAATCTGAGATGTAGTAGTTACATTAAAAAAAGAAAATTCTGGTAGAACAGCCCCACTGAAGGAGATAAAAGTGGTTACCCAAACCTCACTGTTGGTTTGCGAAGGGGCCCCCATGAAAATTCAAGGTTCAGGGCCACAAAAATATAGGTCTGCCACTGCATTCATGGCCTTTTCTTGAATTTCCTGGAAGCTGACTGATGCTGGAAATTGAACTCTGGACTATATCGATTTCTGCACTGGTCTGACAAGGCAGTTGTGATGTTTTTAGAATTGTTTGTGCTGATTTAGAGGAGGTGGACGGGTTGTTCTGTGCTTGGCTCCCCATGTTCCCTGTTGGCCGACGTCCCGCCCCCGCCCCCAAACACCTAGATTTGCTTGTGACTGGTGGCAAAGCGGCCACCTCCATGATTTCCCCTGCACCCATGAGCAGGCGACTCCAAACAAGCACTGTGGGGCGTGAGACTGCTTGCATGTGAAAGACGTATGAGGCTGAGCTAGACAGCTGGTCCGTCTAGATCAGGGCTGTGTACACTTCCAGCAGCTTTCCACAGTTTCACGCAGGAGTGTTTCGTTAGGGACTGATCTAGGAACCTTCCACATGACAAACACTGCGCCCGTCTCCAAAGGACTGCAAACATAGTAAGTGGCCTTATGATTGAACCACTGTTGATCCGTCTAGTTCAGCCTTGTCTACCAGTGTTAGAAACTCAGATGTATAAACTAGGCACCAAACGGCTTCTTAAATCAAGGCTATACTTGCCAAAATGGAATTTCTAGTTGCCATTTTTGGGTAAGATGGCTCTAAAGTCTTATTTTTCAAAGGATCGACTGACTTACCAGTTAAACATCTGGCTAGGTGAAGAGCTTTGAGAACTTAATAGAAGAAAAAAATCACTTGATCCAGGGACAGCCCACCTATATATTGGGCTCTTTTTCTTAATGGTGACACGGGCCATTCATAGCGTAGGAATATTCTTCACAACCGTGAGCAGGGCAGCCGGGTGGGGTAAGTGAAGACAAGCAACAACAACAACAACTTGCTATTTATACCCCGCCCATCTGGCTGGGTTTCCCCAGCCGCTCTGGGCGGCTTCCAACAAAAGATTAAAAATACATTAAAACATCAATCATTAAAAACTTCCCTAAACCAGGGCTCCCTTCAGATGTCTTCTAAACATCAGATAGTTGTTTATTTCTTTGACATCTGATGGGAGGGCGTTCCACAGGGTGGGTGCCACTACCGAGAAGGAGAATGTTGTTCACTCTTCCTGCTCAGGCTGCACAGAGAAAGCATTTTGGTTCCTGAAATTCGTTCTGCGTGTGCAGATAAAATATAATGGATAGAATTCTACAGGACAGGGTGTTAGTGTATACAAACAGTCCAGATCCAAGGATCCGCAGGCATGCACCTCCAGATGGTGGAGATGTCAGGCACCATCCTGGCACCCAGGCATCTTCACTTGGTCACAAGTGGCCGAGAGGTGCATAATGCGCCTGGCTAATTTCAAACGCTGTTGTCTACACCAGGGGAAACCAATGTTGTGCCCTCCATATCCTATTGAATTATGACATCTCTGGTCATCAGCTAGTGGGAGTTTTGACCCAGCAACATCTCTGGGGTGCCCTATTGGCAATTCCTGGTCTACAACAGCAGCTCTCTGGGGAATCAGGGCGAAGACTTTCCCTGTTGTACTTGGAGGTATCAGGGAATGGACATGTGATTGAGCCTGTGCTCTCCCACTGAGCTGTGATTCGTCACATGATCACTGGCCACAGATGCGGCTCATGATCTCTAACATTTCAACGGGTGAAAGCTTACGGTGCTGTGACCAATGGCTCTCCTGTTATTCTCAAACCCCCAAACCACCAGCTGATTTAGCCATCTCCACTGTTTACAAATTATTCTTCTTAATTTGCTTTACATGCCCTTCACCCTAAGGTTTCGGGGCAGGTTACAACATTAAAACACAATGTTAAATGCAGTTTAACGCAACCTAACAGTCACAAAATAAGCGGGTCCTAAAAATACACACCTCAAGTGTCAAAAGCTGCAATTACTATCATTGTACTTCCTTCCTTGCTCGCTCGCTCTTTCTCTCTCTCTCTCTCTCTCTCTGTGTGTGTGTGTGTTGGTGTTGTGGTTTTTGTCTGCAATATCCTGGCCTGCAGTGGCTTTATGAAGGAGGCCGGCTTAGTAAACTGACCACAGTAGTTTAGTTTTAAATGACTTGGGGGCGTTTAATCTCTCCCGGGATCTGGTTTTGCTTATTATAGAGTAGCTGAAACTCAAAAGCATTTAGAAGGTGGTTATTGCCAGGGGCGGGTTGGTGGGAGAAGCGTTGATGAACGGGTGGTTTATCAGTCATTAAATGCATTCGAGTTTGTCACTATAGTAACTTTATAGAAAACTTCAACTCGGATTTCAGATTTGCGCTTTGCAGTGCAAGCAAGTCAATGCATACATTAAGGAAACGGGAATTTTCTGTGCTGCACATTTTATACCAAAGAACAGCCACGTTTAACACAGTTGGGGGGAAGCATCCCTGCAGGCAGAGCCTTAAGCAAGGGGGGGCAGTCTTGGTGATTTGTAAGTTGTTGGGAAATTTTATTTTACTTTAAGATACAGCCTGCCCATTGTACAGGATGAGCCTCCGTGTTTTCGACTGCAGAATATCAGATTGCAGAGTAGGTGTCTTTTGTTTCGTTTTGTAAATGTCACCCACACCAGAATCTCCCTCCGCACGCTTTAAACTTGCAAGTGGAAGAGGAAACTTCACAAACCCTTTCTCTCTGCACTGTGGTTTTATTCCATAAAAATTATGCATCACTTGATTGTAAAAACAAAACCCAAACAAACTTCAAAGCAGTTAACAAAAGGGTATTAAAATCGAGGAAAAACTCAGTCGTATTTTAAAACACGCAAAAGTTTTAAAATACTAAAGCAAATTAAAATTACTTCAGCTTTCCAAACATCTTTAGGTTTGCCTAAACTAGGGCCTCCGTACGTCCTGACATTACCGGGATTTCAAAGGTGAAATTGACGTCTGGGGACTTCCGGGTTAGCGCCATCGCCGAATGGCGGACTCCCTCCGAGCTCCGGAGGGAGTCTGCTCGGCAGGGGCTGGGTCCTACCGCGCCGGCGACGCGGGGACCCTTAAAACCCACGGGCACGGAGTCTGTGGACATGGGTGACTCGGCTTGCACCATTAGCGCCTCCCGACTCGTGAAGGAGCCTTTTAAAGGCTTCGGATCGGGTGCCGGGAGTGGCGTGGTGCTTTGAGTCCACTGCTTTCCTGCCGAGCGCAGCCGCATGCCATTCGACGGAGAGCGCTGACTTCTTCTATTGAAAATTTGACTATTAACAACAACCCGTGAGTAATTGGGAAACCGGGTTCAAAATTTTGGATTTGGCACGAGCGGGGGCGATTTAAAAGGAAGTCAATCCCCCTATTGTAAGCATTCCAAAACAAGGACTGGGTAACCAAGGTCCAAAGGGAAGTATGTCTCTGATAAAAATCATTAATTTCACGATGGGAAATTATAAGAAATGTGCTGGAGGAGAAGAGTGGAGGGTGAGAAGAAAATGCAACCCCCCCCCTGGGAACCGGGGCGATTCGTGGAGCCTGGTGAAGAGAGACGGAGACTTTGACAGCTGTCAAAGTGGCTGTCAAAGCTGGAGAATATAAAGAGGACTTTATGAGGACCTTGCTGGTTAATTTTGTTACAATTTGCTATAATATGGATATAAACTGTTGGAAAATAAGCAACAATTTGACTTTTGGATTAGAGGATACAAAGTTATTACAATCCCCTAGAGGGGTTTCGGGATACTACAAGAACGGTCGTAAGTGGAAAAATACCCTGGGATTCGCACAGGATTTGTTATCTTCTGGGAAAGCTGCAAAACTGAAAGAGTATTTTGTCTACAGAGGAAGACAATGGAATTTTTTATTGAAGAAAGAAAGGGACTGGACGTAAGTTTTTGTTCCTGAATAACAAACCTCTGCAGAGACACTAGATTTCTGAATTAGAAAGTTTTAGCAGCTGAACAGGACAAGAAACCTGAGAAAGTGAGGAATAAGAAGAATAAAGGACTGATTACGACACGGAAAGAACAACGGGAGGAGTGGTAAAGATCAAGGAAATTAAAGGCCTTTGTTAGATTGGACATTTGAAGTCAAATATTATTTAAATTAATAAACTAAAAGAAAACCGGCAAGATGGAATCGGGGAGAAATCTGGTCATGAAATGAGACTTCCAAGCTGATAATGTATAGACTGATGGACATGGGGAATTCAAACCGGGGTACTGGGGGGGAGATTTGAAATCCAAAGGCTGTGTAACCATTTTTTGAATTTTTCTATATCTCTTATTTTCTATTTCTTTACATAACTTACGCATGTTATTTTACTTTGATCGGACGTGTTTAAAAAAAAGGGAATTTGTGGAAGGAACTGGGGTGGATCTTGGGGAAAATCTTTTTTCTTTCTGTTAATGATGTGGGACGGTGGTAAGATTTGTACAATTCACTCTGGATAGTGGGTTAAACAAATTAAGCTTTAAATTGGGAGTGAGAGCTTGTAGAACCAAATTAAGGAAAGGGGAATACAATTGGGGGAGGGGGAGTCCCAGAAAGTAGGGAATGAAAGTAAGGTTTTTAAATATCTTCTTTCTTCTGTCTTTTTTCTTCGTATTTTTATTTTTTTGGAAACTTTAATAAATATGATTTAAAAAAAAAAAGAAATTGACGTCTGGGGGGGATTTGTCCTGGACCTTAGACAAGTCAACAGAAAAATCCCGGGTTTTTTGGTGGTTTTGTAAAAAAAAGAAGCTGAACAAATTTGAAGTTTTCCTTTAAAAAAAGAAGAAGAAGCTCAACAATTTTTGGGGTTTCCTAAAAAAAAAAAAGCTCAATCATTTCGGGGTATTCCTAAGCTCAATTTTTTGAGGGTGTCCTGGTTTTTCCTTTTTGAAATATGGCAAATTCAAAGCAGATTAATTTGAAACATCTGGGTAGGCTTGCCTAAGCAAGAATGCTTTTAGCAGACCCCGGAAAGAGTACAGTGAAGTTTGATCTCAATAGGAGGGAGTTCCAAAGTGGCAGACACTAAACGACCAACTTCTTACAAGTGTGGAATGAGTGACTATTACGTGGCACTTGCAGGAAGTGTGCAATCTGCAGGAAGCTTCCGCCCCCCCCCTTTAATTTTTTTAAGTGAGGGAGCAAGATAAACCCTTTTCAACTTCCTAATTCTGTGCAACCTGACCCTTTCCAATTAGATGCAGCAGAATGACATGGCAGAATTCTGAGATGGTGGAAGAGACTGATACGATAGCCGTCTTCAAATATCTCAAGGGCTGTCACATGGAAGAGGGGCACGTGCTTGTTTTTTCCTGCTGCGGAGCATAAGACTCGAACCAAGAAAGTTACAAGAAAGGAAAATCTGACTAAACTTTCTGACAATGAAATCTGTTCGGCAGTGGAACAGACTCCCATGGGAGGTTGTGGATTCTCCTTCCTTGTAGGTTTTTAAGCAGAGGTTGGATGTCCATCTGTCAGGGATGCTTTAGTTAATATTCCTGCACTACAGTGAGTTGGACTAGACTGGGGTCCTTTTCAACTCTTGAGTATGTATGCATACTCAATGAGAGGTGTGAGCTTGTTTTTGCCAGGTTATCTTATTTATATTGTTGTTGTTGTTTAGTCGTTTAGTCGTGTCCGACTCTTCGTGACCCCATGGACCAGAGCACGCCAGGCACTCCTGTCTTCCACTGTCTCCCGCAGTTTGGTCAGACTCATGTTTGTAGCTTCGAGAACACTGTCCAACCATCTCATCCTCTGTCGTCCCCTTCTTCTTGTGCCCTCCATCTTTCCCAACATCAGGGTCTTTTCCAGGGAGTCTTCTCTTCTCATGAGGTGGCCAAAGTCTTGGAGCCTCAGCTTCAGGATCTGTCCTTCCAGTGAGCACTCAGGGCTGATTTCCTTAAGAATGGATAGGTTTGATCTTCTTGCAGTCCATGGGACTCTCAAGAGTCTCCTCCAGCACCATAATTCAAAAGCATCAATTGACATAGTCTGACTTTAACCTCTATGCAAGTTTTGTGCAAGCAGAACGGGGTGAAATAGGTCGTCTGTTAATCTAACCTTAAAAGCACAGTGCGTGGATCTTTCTAAATGTGCCTTCTAGCAATTGGAGTAAATCTGAACCCTAAAAATATCCAGCTTATGTTATATTTGTGTTTTTCTCTCTCTCCCCAGAATACATCAACATTCAACAGAGATGTTCTAGTGCAGAGGGACGAGACTAAATCTGCCTCTTCTGGATGCTGCAAGGTATGGCCTTGGGTGGAAAGTAACGTGTTGTTTTGGCATACATGAGATCATGCCGGTGACTCTACGGCAAAAGGGTCATTCCATTGCATGCTCGGTGGTGCAGCCTAAAGTTCAGGCCTGCACAATTTGTGGCCCATCGTGCCAGACTCCGCTCACCAGCCATGTTTTGTACTCCCTCCATTTTTCAATAGTTCCTTGTTGGAAATAAAACTGGAGGTTTATCGAGCTTCTTGGCAAAGATGGCATTCAGTTTGTGGGCTGCAAGTTGTACAGACGAGAACTGAATTGGCATGTAGATTTCTGAAATGTTTTCCTCTTTGTCATGGTTAGGACTTGACCAAGGTAAGGTAAAGGACCCCTGGATGGTTAAGTCCAGTCAAAGGTGTCTATGGGGTTGTGGCGCTCATCTCGCTTTCAGGCCAAGGGAGCTGGCGTTTGCCCACAGACAGCTTTCTGGGTCATGTGGCCAGCAGGACTAAGCCACTTCTGGCACAAGGGAACACCGTGACAGAAACCAGAGTGCACGGAAACGCCGTTTACCTTCCCACTACAGCGGTACCTATTTATCTACTTGCACTGGTGTGCTTTCGAATTGCTGGGTTGGCAGGAACTAGGACAGAGCAACAGAAGCTCATCCCATCGCGGGGATTCGAACCGCTGACCTTCTGATCGGCAAGCCCAAGAGGCTCAGTGGTTTAGACCACAGCGCCACCCACTTGACCAAGAGCTTATGCTGTCTTACGGGGCTGGACTGTGTTACCCAATAAGAATACCCAGGGTCCCTTTCCAGAGCGGCCCCCCTGCAGAGAGATGGAGCCACCATTTGGATGGCTTTAAAAGAGGACGGGACAAATTCTTGGCCTGATCCAGCAGACTCTTCTTCCATTCATAACGCAAAGTTGAAATGATTAAAAAATAAATAAATAAAACCGATCTCAAATGAATCTAATCGGTTTTGAAGGCTTTAGCGAGGAATCAAAACATTTTACTGTGCAGAGCAAGTCAGAGAATGGAAAAAGAAATCCAAGCAGCTGAAACTGGCACAGCCTCTTGCAACCGCCCTGTGCGTTATATTATCACTATTCCCATTGGACAGACTGAGCATGGGAAAATCTGCACACACTGTGCTTGGTATTCTGAATATATATATCCCCAAGTGCCAGGCCTTTCTTCCTCATTGTGCAGCAAAGGCAAACAAAAGACAGCAACAAAATGTAATAAAGAGAATTGCTGCTTGTTCCGGCATGAGTCAAGATTTGCAAAAAGGATTTTGGAGCACAGTAAGAGTCGGTTTGAGTTGCCAAATTGCAGCCTTGCCTTGCAGGTTAAGTGTATGTTGCTGGAACATAGGCTCTCGGAGGCAATGTGTGGTTTGAGCACTGAACATCCCAGGACTTTGACTCGAGGGGGCGGGAAATTGTTGGTTATCTTCCTTGGGGCATTTTCTACTCCTGGACTTGTAAGCAGCTGTCATGCACTTAGCCAAGCCAAGCCTATTTAAGCCGCTGCTCTCTGCTCTAGCACTCTTCATTATCTTTTTTAAAAAATACTTCCTGGGAAAGGAAGGGTAGGCGGCTTGTCCGTCCTGACATGAATGGAAGATCCTACGTGGTCTGCATCACTTTGAAATCAACTGGGGCTGCACATCATCCAAGTACGTCCCCGAGAGGGATGCGGGTGGCTCTGTGGTCTAAACCACTGAGCATCTCAGGCTTGCCGATCAGGAGGTTGGCGGTTTGAATCCCCGCAACAGGGTGAGCTCCCATTGCTCTGTCCCAGCTCCTACCAACCTAGCAGTTCGAAAGCATGCCAGTGCAAGTAGATAAATAGGTACCACTGTGGCAGGAAGGTAAATGGCATTTCTGTGCCAGAAGCTGTTTAGTCATGCTGGCCACATGACCTGGAAAGCTGTCTGCAGACAAACGCTGGCTCCCTTGGCCTGAAGCGAGATGAGCACCGCATCCCGTAGTCGCCTTTGACTGGACTTAACCTTCCAGGGGTCCTTTACATGTCCCCGAGAGTCACTGAAATAGGACAGTCTTGTGATGAACGATAGCAATTTTCAATGAGCAGATGTACCCTGGCTGTTCTTAATGCTTTAGACTGATAAATGATTTAGACTCCGTAATGAGGGGAGCATATTGAAGGGATCTGTAATGAACGGAAGGGAAATAGCCCAGTCGGGAGTGAGGGCATATTGGTAGATGCTCCTACCAAAGTGGGAAAGCACTTCAGTTCTTCCTGGGTTTCAGTTCCCTTGCAGAGAGAGAAAGGAACACAGGAAGCTGCATTACATCCAGTTGTTGATATGGCCATTGAGGTTTATTCTGCAAGACAGGTGCAAGTTCCTTAACAACTTCATTATTCTCTGCCAAAGCTGCCAATGGGATTTTCTGAGCCAAATACATTACAGATATAGTTTGAAATATCTGTATATATATACACATTCATATATACAGATATTTCAAACTATATCTGTAATCAAGGATGTCAGTCATTCATCTAATCCATCAGGAATAGCCAACGAAGTGCCTTTCAGATGTTGGAATTTAATTCCCATTATCCCTGACCATTGGCCATGCAGGCTGGGATTGGTGGTAGTGATACTCCTACAACATCTGGAGAGAACCACCTTGGCTATCTCCATCATATGACATATACCAAAAGGGACTGATTCTAATTACACAATCACTTCTACTCAATTTTCCAAAAAAATAGCCACACCTATAAATTACCCAACATCATTCCATACGAGTATATCTTTATTCTGATTTATTTCTAGATTAGCATGTATTTAAAGTACCAAAGAGTAGCACTTTATACAGAACACTAAAATGATAAAGTATAATAAAGTATAGGATAGAGGAACATAAATACAATCATTGACTGCAATAATAATTCACTCATAAATGGCATTTTATGTTCGTTGGAAAGGAAGATAGCTGTTAATGTCTAATCCATATTTATTCTTCGTAAAGTGACTGAATGTGCCCTGTAACCTTTGCCATTTCTACAGTGTTCCAGATTTTAAGCAACACATTTTCAGTATTGGTGTTTTACTGTCCTTGTAACTACGTAGCAATCAAAATTTAGGAGCTGAGAAGATTCCATACTATTCTTTACGAAACCTTCAAAATATCATAATAACGTCCCAGCAGAAACTAGCGGCGTTGTGTAACTTAGATATAATATAGATTCCTGTGCACCCCCTAAATATGTCCCATGGTTCCCACTAACCCAAAGCAGATTTAGGGGAGGGCATGGGGGGAGGAGCGAGGGGAAAGTCAGGTTGCCAAATGCAAATCCACCCCCTAACAAAACGAGTGGATTTGATACCTCCCCATCTATCTCAGATACCAAAGGCAAAGACAGTGTTATTTCTGTTTAAAAACTGCACCTGCTTCTCAAATTAGGCCGGTTGGGTGCTCTTATTTATTTAACCCAGGCTGACCTAATTAGACCCAACCTACCATTAGGAAGTATGGGGCATCCGCCTGAGGTAGCAGAAACTAGAAGTGAGAATAAGACGTTGAACCCCCCCCCCCCACAAGTTAGCCTAATGCTCTCAGGTGTGGTGGTTTATAAAGCGTATCAGCGAAGGTAGTTTTCAAATTTCCAGATTTGTGCCTAACTTCCCCCCATGTCTGTTTGTGGAAACTCTTCTGTTTCGCGAGGGATTCTGGGAAACTGTCCACATCATGCGCTAGGGTTCACACTGTGCGCTAGATGCTATCCTAATATTGGCCTTGGCTCTGCGTTTCAAACCTCAAAGGCAAACATCCCTGCAGAAGCTGGCCGGGTGCTCAGGTTGTCTCCTCGTGCTCTGAAGCGGTGCCAAAAGATAAGCTCGGAAGTGCTGCGTTTGCTCATTTTGCGTGGCTGGGAATAAAAAGGCCACTTAATGCAATGCCTTCCGCAATATAAACATCTCAGGCTCTGTAAAGGAAATGTGTCTCCGTTTCTGTCAGCACCGCTTCGATGCAACCGGCAGAGTCACAAAGAAATCCTGGCATCTTTGACCCCCTGCCCCCTGCTTTCCCAAGGTGAAATAAAATAGGGTGCTTGGATGGCTTACTGCCTAAAGAGCATCTGCTTGGAGACACCCTTAAATTGCACCCTTGATAACTCAGTCCTAGGTCTTGCCTCCATGCATAGGCGTATTGAGAGTCTTTTGGGGATATGGTGGATTCCCTCCATCTGCAGTTTGCTCTAGTCAAGTACTGTTAGTTTCCTGTGAAATGCACTTTGTGGATTTTCCAACAAACCACACAACATTTAGTGAAATTGCCAAGGCTGGGAACAGAGTCTCTGAAGGAGATGAGATAAAAGCAAATGGTATGGGCTGCCAAGGAAAAAAAAAAGAAAACACACTTTATACCAGTTGTGACAACAGCAAAATTTGAGTGGGGCTTACTTCACGGTAACTGGCTGCCTGGAACATGAGGCTCAGTAGAGTGGGTGGCTTTCGCAAACCAAGCTTCGCTGTGAAATTAATGCAAAATTACTGCATTCCAGGATGCATTGCTCTTTTCTAGGACTTACTGAAACCGAGGCCCCGTTTGCACTATGCATTTAACAGTATCATATCGTCAGAAACAGTCCTGGCTTCCCTCAAGGAATTCTGGGAAATGGAGGGTCAACTTACACAGACTTGGCCTAAATGCAGAAGTTTGCCAATAGAGGGGGGAGATAAAAGATCTGGCTCCCCACCCCCCACTCCAGCCAATAAGTTTTTCCATCCCTGCCATAAGAAAAACCTTGGTTTCGGCTTTGGGTTAGGCTGGAGAAAAGCTAAACCGCAAGCCTGATTTTGCTAAGCTATAGCTCAATTGAGGGGAACGACCAGGAGGATGGAAGCAGCCATGATCTCCTCTTGAGAAGCCTTCATGCTCAAGTGTTCATGGTTTTGCTTAGTGAGACAGCAGACCAGGACTTTGAATTGCATCCCGTGCACACAGACCAAGTTTCGTTTGGATATCTTAACTGCTCAAGGGAGATGCATTTCAAAGAAGAATGCCCTCAGAGGGACGGACAGTTTAAATCCTCTGCTTGGCCCCAAATGGAGCATCTGTAGCTAACAAGCCTTCTGATGTTTATGATGTGCTAGGTTTGTCTGGACCAAAATCTGAATGGCACTTACATAATGCCTGCATATATTCATTTGTGGGGAGTTTGGGGGGGGCGCAGGGGAGAGAGATGTGAACAGTGAAAACTGTATGCTGACGATAGAGCCTTCCTTTTTTATGGAGGTGGCTGGGCGCCACGAAAAACATAGAGGGCATTCTTGTTTCATAGGATCCAAATGAAAATGTTTGTTTCTGCTGTTCGTAAGGGATTCATTTCACTGGACACACACACAAACACTCTTCCTAATTCAGCTGTTCCTGAAAAAGTCATAACTAGATATTGATGTCTTCTAGGCAGGCTTACAAAGCTGCAAAGCCTCCTCCTTTTCAATTAGGGAACATAGAAAGCTGTTTTCTACTGAGTCAGGCCACCAGCACACCAACTCAGTATTACATTCAGCAGCTCTGCAGGGTCTTTCTCAACCCTACCTAGAGACGCTGAGGATTGAACCCAGAGCCAAGCTCTGCATGCGGGGCATGCGCCGCTGCACTACAGCCCTTCCCGTATTGTGTGTCTCTGTGTGTGTGTGGCGGGTGGCAGTTCTAAGCTGCAATTCTGGGCCGCATCCTTAAAAATTAGATGCGACACCATGAATACGTGGTGCATTTTTAAGAATGTACAATAGCAGCAGTGGGATTGCAGGGGTGGGTTGTGCCCCTGGAGGCTCCTTTCTCGATTCAAATCTCAGCTGCAGGAAGGTGATTTTCTTTGGGACCATAATCAAGGGGATGAATTTGGCTCTGCCGGTGCTCTGTGTTCTCTATGCTTGTGATTATTTTTTTTTAATCTACAGTTGTGTCTCTCGCACAATTAACATCCCGCTGGCTTTAAAATGTCAAAACAGGTAGAAAGGTGAGAGGTGTCTGGCCCCAAAGAAGCAGTACTGTAACCTATTGCTTTGCAATAAACAACGACGGACTCCTAACTCCTCAAACTTCTGGGTTTTATTGACATAAACTCAGGAGATAAGCCATTTTTGGCTTACGGCATTATGATGGACAAATCTTTTTCCTCATCCTCCTCTATGACTCTGCAGCCACAGCAGGCGCTGCGATTCTCCATTGGCTTGACTTCACCCCTGCAGGCGCACTCCGTTGTCTCTTGAGAAAGGCAAGGTGGTGGCAGCTATCTGAGAGGAAGGCCTGCCGGCAACACCGCAGGGCTGTCATGTTGCCTTTGAACCAGGAAAGTGGTATGAGAGCGATTCTGCTGAGCATCCCTCCATTCTCCGCAGTAATGCATCTGCATTGTACACACATGGATTCATTCCCTGGGATTTCCCAAGTATGGCTAGGATTGCTTCCTGTCTGAAACCCTGAATAGATGCTGCCGGTCAGTGTTAGCGTTGCCATACGGACATAGCTGGAATACTGTGTCAGGGCAGAAATCGCAAAATATGTCCGGGGAAATCTGGATGTATGGCAATCCATGTTGGCAGTGTTGTTCTTCTTGTGTGGTGTTGCAAAAATAAAAACTCAACAACTTTGCCCCCACCCCCCACCCCGCAACCACTTTTGTGTCCCACTTTTTGAAACAATTTGGCAACCCTTGTCAGTGTAGGCAGGACTGAGCTGAATGGATCGGTGGTCTGTCGCAGCGAGAAAATGGCCGCCCGAGAGAAGAGCGACTCAAATGGCGGAGCTTCTTCCTTCATCCTGGTTTTCAGCCACGAGGCGCCATGAGGTAGGCAGGCTTGGGGAAGAGCGACTTCCTGAGCTCATGGCGAAAACTAGCCCTTCGTGGCTCCTCTCAGAACAACATTTTTTTTAAAAAACGGGAAAACGGTAGGCGGGAGGCTTTCGGCCTACAGGCTGAGGCGCAGGCCAGGCCTTGCTGAGGCCTAACGTCTGAGGCCAAGCGAAGAAACAGATACTTTGTTGCTAAAGGGACCTGAGGCGCCGCTCAGGCATTCCAGTGGCCTGAGGCAGGGCCAGGGTGGATAAAAACCAATAATAATAATAATAATAATAATAATAATAATAATAATTTTTTATTTATACCCCACCCTTCCTGGTTCAAAAATTGTGCTCAGGGCAGCTATCAACAAATTCAAAACACTTTAAAACAATTATAAAAGCAGCATAAAATACAGTATAACAACATATACATAAAATCGTTTTTTTTTTTACTTAGATCGGGATTTTTAAAAATTTAAATCGGATTTTTAAAATGAAATGCTTTTAGAGGAAAAATCTTTCTAAAGCTCGTTTCCTGTTTAAGTTACATTATAGTCCAAAGGCTGTCGGGAAATAAGGATTTAAGTGTGCTAAAACTCAGGTTTTTTTTTTTAAAAACCCACTAACAACCACCAAAAAACTTGTTTAACCACAACAGTTAACAAACATGGATACATACGCTGTAATGTTTTTGTTTTAGTTACCGTACTTTTCCATTTATAGGACGCCCTCATGTATAAGACGACCCCTATTTTGGGGGGGCTCAAAATTTAGAAAATGGGGGGTTTAGCTTTGGGGGAGGATTAATTGGGGGGAATGCCGAAAATCACTCACCTGCCAGAATGCAGCAAGTAACCGCTTGCATTGCAACTGTCGATCGCCGCCATTAGCCCTCCCGATTCTGCTGCCGCAGCCAATAGCTACCCTTGTCGCGGCAAGCGGGAACGTGATTGGCGACAAGGGCGGCTGTCTATTGGCTGCCGCAGCGGAATCGGGAGGGCTAATGGCGGCGATCGGCAGTTGCGACGCGAGCGGTTGTGTGCTGCGTTCCGGCGGGTGAGTGATTTTCGGCATCCCCCCCCCCAAAAAAATGATCAAGCGGCCAATCGCCACTTACAGTCTCAGGCTCGCGCCAAAAAAAACATTCGCCCGTCCCCCCTAAGCACTACCCGTGTATAAGACGACCCTAAATTTGGAACCTCATTTTTGAGTCAAAAAAGCTCGTCTTATACACTGGAAAATACGGTAAATAAATTGTTTAAATTGTTATTAAGGAAGTGATTATTTATCTCCTTCCAATAAAGTACAGCGGAAAAGTTGTCCAGATGTAAACAGTTAACTTACCGAACCTCACAATAATTTCATAATTATCTGTCTATGTATTTTTAATAGGATAACCAAATCGGTAATTTTTGATAAAACGGTAGAAACTGCTCTGAAAATATATTATTCCGAAAACAAAACCTTCATTTGGTTGTAAATATTAAGATTATACCAGCAAGAATGAGTCTTTCTGTAAGAAAATGATTTAAATCAAGTCTTACTGACTAGTGATTTATATCAAGTCTTAGTGATTAGTGATTTAAATCGATTTGATTTAAATCAAATCCACCCTGGGCGCAAGGCCCTTTGTAAATAGGTACCTCCCTTTTAGATGTGTGGTAATTTACAAGGTAATTTCCAACAACAACAAGCCAAATGACTTTGGCTGCGCCGTAGCTCAGGAGAACCGAGGGTGACAGAATGGTGTCTGGACAAGGCTCTGCAAGAGTTGGATCCGGCGCCAGCAGCCTTCTCTTCCTGCCCCGCTTGGCACGCTAGATGCCAGTTGAAGGCTGCAGGCAACCCCTCAGCACCACCATAAAAGGAACTACAGTGGTACCTTGCTTCTCGAACTTAATCCGTCCCGGAAGTCCGTTCCAAAACCAAAGCGTTCCAAAACCAAGACACGCTTTCCCATAGAAAGTAATGCAAAATGGATTAATCCGTTCCAGACTTTTAAAAACAACCCCTAAAACAGCAATCGTAACGTGAATTTTGCTATCTAATGAGACTAAATGAAAGCAATAAACAATGTACTGCAGTCCCACAGTTAGTCAGTCAGTAGCCGAACTGAGTTCCACGCAGCCACAAAAACAAAGATAAAAGTCGCAAAAACAAAAACGCAAAATAAATGGCAAAAACAGACAGACCTCAGCTTGCATTCTTAGTTTGCACCATCCAGAAAGCTGGAGATGGATAACAATACATTATATATTCTACTGAGCACCTGAAAAAGAATACTCTGCCCGCAGAACATCCTATCCCTACTTAACAGAAGCCAGAAAAAATGAAACAAAATTTTCACCACTGCCCACATTGGGTATTGTTTTTGCTTGCTACTATGTTATGTGTTTTTATATCCTGAACCGCCCAGTAAACTTAAAAATGAAACTAAAAAATAAATAAAATGTGCACATACTTGATCAGATGAAAGTAAACATAAATATCACTAGCAAAGCTGGGAAGAAAGGCTCAGCATAGCCTTTCTACTAATGCGCTAATTATCCGCATGCAGGGAGTTTGAAGTCCATATCGTGATAGTGGTTTCATAATTTTTGACCTGGCGATATATCTCGAGTCATTGTGTGTGCGTGAGCTCACGCTATGCAACAATCACAATGTGGGAAACACAGTGCCTTTACATAGCTCCACTGTTATTTCAGACATTGTGATATATCTTGACATTTAGCTGGTGATATACAGTGGTACCTCTTGTTGCAGACACGATCTGTTCTGGGTGCAAACGGCACCCCGAAAAATCCGCAGCTAGAGCGGCTTTTCTGCGCAGAACGCGATAGAGCGCTTCTGCACATGTGTGAAGCACGCAGAATGCTTCTGTGCATGTGCGCACGGCTGAACCCGAAAGTATACAATTCCGGGTTTGCTGCGTTCGCAGGCCGAAAAGTCGCAACATGAACCTAACGCAACACGAGGTATGACTGTATTGTGATGTCTTAAGCTTACTCCCCTTGAATTTATATAAACCCCGTTTAAAGCCCACCTAAGTGACCATGTCTTTTGTAAGCAAATGCCTTTGCTTAATGCCTGATTCTGCCAGTTCTGCAAACAAAATAACCTTTTGAGTTGCGCTGTCTCTTTTTGCTGTGTTCCACTTGGTTCCTGTCCTTACTGTTCCCTCCCCTTTTTTTTGCATTATGCTTTCGCTTGCTGTTTTGATGTCATCGGCAGTTGGGACTGGAAACCTCATACCGGCCTGTACTTAAATAGGATACAGTGCTTAATTAATACCCTGATTAATTTTTGATGATTAATTGTTCTCTTATCTTCTGCTGGGCTTATTCTTTCCACACACTCTCACTCCTGAGCCGAGGTGATGGATCATCTTGTCAAGGTTGAGGTAGCGCCGAATTGATTAAAATCTATTTCACTGTGCATCTCTTTAGCGAGGGCAGAATTTTCCTGCCTGTTTTTTTTTTTTTTTTAGCGAAACCCAGCTTTTTGTAATGAATGAGGCCGGGTGTTGTCGTTTTTAAGCGACTCTGGCAGAGCCTACATCCCTCAGGGATGGTGCATGAAGAGGCAGAAACTGAGTAAGGAAAAGGATAAAGAATTGTAGAGTTGGAAGGGAACCCCAAGGGTCATCTATTCCAGCCCCCTGCAATGCAGGCACCTCAACTAAAGTATCCATAACAGATGGCTATCCAACCTCTGCATCGGACCACAGGAAAGATCTATCTGATTTTAACATTCCATCACGCTCTAGTGTGACCAACAAGATGCTAAGACATCAGGCACATGCTCCACAGTAACTGGGAGTAGGACTGCCCTTGTTCTGTGTTGAGATGTGTCAGGCACTCTGCACTTTCCGGAAACAAAGACCTTTTCGTTTTGACGTGCTTTTTCCAGCTGGATGAAAACATGTTTGTCTTCGTTATTAATTTGCATTGTTTTCAAACCCATCTTTTACTTGCTTTTCTCGTACTGCCTTAACAACTATTTTCCCCTGCATTTATGATGGACTTTGTGGGCCACCGTGAGAAATAAGTAAAAAGCTATGCATTCACTGATGATGGTTGATATATTAGGTAAAGGTAAAGGGACCCCTGAACATTAGGTCCAGTCGTGGCCAACTCTGGCCTTTCCCCTTTATGTTGGAATGGCAGGGGAAAGCTTGGTTCATTCATGTTTGGTGGGAATGCGCTTGCCTTAAAAACTTTTGGAATAGAGCATTATCCATTATACTTGCAATTCTCCCCCTTTCTCCAAATCCTGCTTTAGCCCTGCTATCTTCGGACATGGACTTAGGCTCAACCCTGCACCCCAGCGAACTAGTAGGCTTCTTACTGACCACATCACAATTAGCCATAGCTCAATAATGGAAGACCGAGACTGAAATACTCCTGAATATATGGGGAAATAATATATGGGATACAGCAATATCCAGGCATCTCACCAGGCACAAGAGGGCAGTTAAAGACATAACAAATAGAGACACCTTCCAAGAAACATGGACCCCTTTATTTAACTATGTTAATGGCCAAAATCAAAACCTTCTTATACCAACCGCTCAATATTCTCAGTCGAGAGGTTACGTTAAGTAATATGGTTGAATGTGTGAGCGTCTGTCTAGAGACAATGGATAAACAAGCACCATTAGATGTACTGCTGGATAAGTGTTTAAAGGTTATTGTATTTGTGTTTGTTTGAAAACCAATGGCGTTTTATTTTTTTTAAATAAATATATTAGCAATATGCCTGGCATGATAAGCCTGGCGTGTGTTTATACATGCACTTTATTCCTTCCTTAACCTCAGCATGTGTAAATACGCCATCAGAAATTAAAAGAGCACTGGGAAACCCAGCCAGATGGGCGGGGTACAAATAATAAATTATTATTATTATTATTATTATTATTATTATTATTATTATTACTGTGCCTTAGGTGACAGAAACGTTTTGTCTCAGGTCTGAGCCTCGGGAGACTTTGGGGTTGCAAGACCTGCTTCACGTTTGTATAAGACGTACGAAAAGTATGTTGGTGCTGCGCAAATTAAACCCAATAAACAGAAGTCCAAATCATGCCGCAAGAGCCCACAAGGCAATCTGGTCATGTGGTTCTTGGCCAATGGGCCTTCTCCCCGCTAGATGCATAGCTGTCAACCTTCCCTTTTTTTGCGGGAAATTCCCTTATTCCAGCGCCGTTTCCTGCTGCTTCCCACTGCTATCCCGGATTGTTAGGTATCCCGTAGACTGTCCCCGGGACAGGTGAGGCTGCTGATCCCTTATTTTCGAGGCTGCTGATCGCTTATTTTCAAATCTGAAAGTTGACATCTATGGCTAGATGCTTTGCAGATGTTATGTGTAGCACTTGGAGGAGGTGAGGGTTGGATATGGGACAGGAGCACCCAGTGGGTGAGATGATAATGACCCCACTGCTTCTTTTAGGATGCCTGCCAGTCCTGTTATTGGACCACAACTCCCATCATGTGCAAAGGATCTAGGGGTCATAGTGGAACACAAGCTTAACGTGAGCCAACAGTGTGATGCAGCAGCAACAGAAAGCTAATGCTATTCTAGGCTGCATCAACAGAAGTGCAGTCTCCCATTTGTTTGCTTGCTTTTCTAGGCAGGGTGGAAGAAATTGCATTTTTCTTCCTCCTTGGAAATGCAATCAATTACGGACTCTGTGGCATTCAGACATTTCATTGATTGATTGATTGATTGATTGAGTGGGAAATATGGTGGGATAAAAGCCCAGCTGTCACATCTCCTTTTCTGGGGAAAATCTAAAGTGATAATGATGGCTACCGATTTGGATGGCTTTAAAAGAGGATTAGACGAAGTCATGGAGGAGAGCGCTGGCAGTAGCTGCTAGCCACAATGGCTGTATTCCACCTCCACTATGAGAACAGGACGGTGCTCTAGATGGGTCTTTGTCCTGATTTGGCACAACTTTTTTATGCTCTTACAATAACAGCTTAGACAGGTTGATGTATTTTGGGATTTTTCCCTTTCTGGGTGGTTGAAAGAGGCAGGAAAGGGGATATGAGGTCATCCCATGTTTTTCAAACTCCACTCAGAGATAAGAACCAGCAGAATTTCCCGGACTTGTGTTTCACCACAGCTGCCATTTGATGTGAAGATGAAATTGAGCAAGGGAGAGAGTCGAGAAGCATTTGAAACTAACATTTCCCTTGATTGGCATTTTCAAACACTTGCTTCCAGCTTTTAAGAATGTTGACTCAGCCTTTAATTGGGCTCCCGTTCCAAGATCTGAACCAAGCAATGTTTAAGCAGTGAAGAAGTACCCTTACATTACTGGCAGTGAAGAAGTACCCTTACATTACTGGCAGTGAAGAAGTACCCTTACATTACTGGCAGTGAAGAAGTACCCTTACATTGCTGGCCACTTAACACATGCCTTGCTTGTGTAATCCTGGCAAAATGCTAATAATTATGATAAATGTGTGTGTGGAGGAAGAGCTTGTATATTGCAGTGATGTGTCTCAGTGAACAGAGCAGATGCCAAGGGTGGATCTAGACACAGGAAAAAACCCGCTTATCAACTAGTCAGAAATTAGATGGTTATAGGGACGCGGGTGTCGCTGTGGGTAGAACCTCAGCGCCTAAGGCTTGCCGATCGCATGGTCGGCGGTTCGAATCCCCGCGGCGGGGTGAGCTCCCGTCTTTCGGTCCCAGCTCCTGCCCACCTAGCAGTTTGAAAGCACCCTTAAGTGCAAGTAGATAAATAGGTACCGCTTTATAGCGGGAAGGTAAACGGCATTTCCGTGTGCTGCGCTGGTGCCGGCTCGCCAGAGCAACTTCGTCACACTGGCCACGTGACCCGGAAGTGTCTCCGGACAACGCTGGCCCCCGGCCTCTTAAGTGAGATGGGCGCACAACCCTAGAGTTGGACACGACTGGCCCGTACGGGCAGGGGTACCTTTACCTTTACCTAGATGGTTATAACAAAAGGAAAAAATCTCTATGGAAAACAGTGTTTTCAAATTTCCTGCTCTCTTGCGCCATCTACTGTTGCATGTTTATAGCGCATTCAGATTGCTGTTTCTTTACTAATGTAGCTGAGTTCCAATACTCCTGAATTCGAGTATTTCAATTCAATTCTTTGCAATTCAGGAGAACTTTCCTGAATTGCAAAGAAAGCTGATTCTAGACTTGAGCCTGACCCTACCTGATGTGATTTATTCGACTTGTATGTCGTTTTATACTACAGGGGGGAAAGCCTTAATGCAATTTACAATGTGTATAATGCAGTAAAACAACTAGGGATTGCTTTCCAACATCGTAATATATTGCCAGCTAAACTTCGTGATATTACAATGTCAGAAAAGAGACGGAGAGGAAGAAGCTGCCAGTTAGGGGAAATTTAAAGAATAAACATTAATAAGAATAATAATAAACCTCATACACAAACTGTGCTTTAAAACGAACAGTAGATGGATAGATTTTTCTTCCATTTCTGGTTCCACCAAAAGCTTTCTGACTCCATCACCAAACCTCTTCTTTCCTCCGCTCCCCGGGCCCTGCCCAGATCCATGTATTTTCGATTTCTAGAGCTGACAAGTCAACCTGGCAAAGAGCCTTGGAAAACACTGCCTGAGAAAACACGGGTGCTTCCGCTTAAACCAGAGCAGGTGGCTCAGTCGTACGCAACTAAAAACACAGCCCAGTGTCATCAGTTTATAAAGGCTGGAGAGTTTGTTTTTCTGCTAAGTAATTGTTTGCTTTATTGCTACTTACACATTCATTTTAATAGGCCATAAACCACAAACTGCAGTACCCACACTTTCTGGGCCTCTGACATGCATCAAGTTGACAACCTCTCTGGTTTAAGCATCGGCGTACAAGATGGGGCTGTAAATCCAGACTATTATTATAGCCAATCTAAGATTTATTTATATTCAAACCGGGGAAGGGGGGGGGGGAGATTTGAAATCCAAAGGCTCTGTAACTATTTTTTGAATTTTTCTATATCTCTTATTTTCTATTTCTTTACATAACTTACGCATGTTATTTTACTTTGATCGGACGTGTTTAAAAAAAAAGGGAATTTGGGGAAGGAACTGGGGTGGATCTTGGGGAAAATCTTTGTTCTTTTTCTGTTAATGATGTGGGACGGTGGTAAGATTTGTACAATTCAATCTGGATAGTGGGTTAAACAAATTAAGCTTTAAATTGGGAGTGAGAGCTTGTAGAACCAAATTAAGGAAAGGGGAATACAATTGGGGGAGGGGGAGTCCCAGAAAGTAGGGAATGAAAGTAAGGTTTTTAAATATCTTTTTTCTTTTGTCTTTTTTCTTTGTATTTTTATATTTTTGGAAACTTTAATAAATATGATTTAAAAAAAAAAAAATCTAAGATTTATTTATAATTAATGCCGGGGACCTTCCATCGTAATGCCAATTACTGATTTTCTTTAAAGGCGACGGAGAGATGGTTTGTTTGTTTGTTTGTTTTTGCAGTGATTTCCCCAACAGCACAAAGCCAATTCAAGTGCTGTTAAAAAACTGGAGAGAGAAAAAGAGAGGAGTTTGTTTGTTGGTTTGTTTGTTAAGGACCGATTGGCATTTGCAACAGGAGAAAAGAGGGGTCTCCAGTTGCTGCCCAGTAAGGTAAAGGTAAAGGGACCCCTGACCATTAGGTCCAGTCATGACCGACTCTGGGATTGTGGCGCTCATCTCACTTTGCTGGCCGAGGGAGCCAGCGTTTGTCCGCAGACAACTTCCGGGTCATGTGGCCAGCATAACTAAGCCGCTTCTGGCGAACCAGAGCAACGTACGGAAACGCCGTTTACCTTCCCGCCGGAGTGCTACCTATTTATCTACTTGCACTTTGACGTGCTTTCGAACTGCTAGGTTGGCAGGACCAGGGACCGAGCAGCGGGAGTTCACCCCGTCGCAGGGATTCAAACCGCCGACCTTCTGATCAGCAAGTCCTAGGCTCTGTGGTTTAACCCACAGTGCCACCCACGTCCTGCCCAGTAACATTGCTAACAATATCCAATTGCTGCCCAATAATATTGCCAAGGCCGGTGTTGGTTTCTGTTTCGGGGGCGCCTGCTATCAGTAAGCTATTTCTGCGACTTAAGTTGCACACTGAATGTGTGCTAAAGCATTGCATGGACATGCTCTGCTCTGCTAGCTGGCATAAGCACGATGCTCCAAACAGCTGAAGGCTATCTCAGATGGGCAATTTCTGGATATATTTTGGGTGCTTCCAGACTGCTGCTGGAGAGGCACCCATACAATGTGCCTTTTCCAGATATACATGCCCACCGGCATTCGGAATCTGCCAGGTGCAAAATGCAATCGGCCACTTGTGAATAAGTGAAGATACCCGGGTGCCAGGATGGCACCTGATGTCATCTGGAGGTGCATGCCTGGAGATCCTTGGATCTGGACTGTGTTCACACACTGGCAACACATCCTGTAGAATTCTTACCCGTTACATTTTATCTGCACAATCAGAATGAATTTTAGGTACCCCCAAAGTCATGCTGAAAAATACGACTTTCAAGCCGCCTGGCTCAAAAATGGCAACCAGGCATTCTGATTTGGTGACTGTAACCCTGGTTTAAGGAGCCATTTGGCACTTAGGTTATATATCTGAGTTTCTAACACTGATCACCAGCACCTGAGGCCCCTATCAGTCCTATAGTGGGGTGTGTGGAGAATTACAGTGGTACCTCGGGTTACAGACGCTTCAGGTTACAGACTCCGCTTACCCAGAAGTAGTACCTTGGGTTAAGAACTTTGCTTCAGGATGAGAACAGAAATCATGCTCCGGTGGCGCAGCGGCAGCGGGAGGCCCCATTAGCTAAAGTGGTGCTTCAGGTTAAGAACAGTTTCAGGTTAAGAACGGACCTCCGCAACGAATTAAGTTCTTAACCCGAGGTACCACTGTACAGGCAAACCATTGTCTCTGTAACATGAGCCCTGTAAGACGTGGCCCTTGCTTCTACCTAGCTCATTTTCACCTGGCCTGAGAGGCGGGGCCCTGATTTACACTGCCTACAAAGGCTGCTCCTGTGTCACTCAGCTTAGTGTGCATGCATGTGTGTGTTGGGATCTTGCTTTCAGGGAAACTTTAGAGAAAGAGGAGTTTCTGCTAGAGGATGCCCCAGGTGGGAGCAAAGAGGCAAGCTTGTCCACGCGAAAGGCAGCCCGCTTAGCCATTGTTTGTGAGTGTCTCCAAGCTTCATGAGTGGCTCTGCGGATTGAAAATGTGAGCATGTTTTCTGCTGCTCTTAGGCTGATTGAGATCAATAAGCCTCCAGCTCTTTCCGCTGCCTTACTGTAATTCTGTTGCTGTGATAGACTTTGGACTGAATTGTTAGGATCAAATGGCTGCATCTTTCTATCTGTATGTATCTCCCGCCGCTGATACCTTTGCAAGTTAGGGTGGATTTGTGTGTGTGCATGATTGGGACACGAAGCTGTTTTCTACCTTTGGTTCATCTCACTCAGTATTGTCTACACTGACCGGCAGAAGCTCTGCTGGGCTTCAGAAGGATGTTCGGGATTGAAACAGGGACTTTCTCTATGCAATGCAGATGCTTCACCAATGAGCTACCCTATGGCATTCCTTTCATCAGAGTTAGGGATATTTTGCTTGCAGTGTTTCGTCAGCTTGCAACTTCTGCATTGTGTAGTGATAGTTATAGGCAAATGTTGTCGTTTCCATTGTATCTCTGCACTGATTATTTGTTTGCTGTTCTTATGATCCCCTTTCAGCATAATTTGGAAAAGTGGCATGCAAATCTAGTTGGTGATGCTGATGACACTGGGATGATAAAGGCTGGTCTTTTTTACAAGACCGTTGGGTTGTATTCAATGAAATCTTTCCACAAACACAATGGAACTTCCTCTTCTTCCTCCTTTCCCTGCCACCGCCTAAAAATCCTCTCCAGAGGGTCAGGGGATCCCCCAGAGTGGATTTAGCAGGGCGCAGAAGGAAGCCAAAGCTCCCTTGCACCCGGCAGAAGTCATTCTTGTCTGTGTGGTAATTTAGTTGCATGCAACCCAATGTGAAGATAGCTGCGGTAATGACTTTGGAGTCTAAAAATAAGTGCAATGAAATTATATAGGTTCCCATTGACCTGTGTGCCAGAAGAGCGAAGTAATGCATACAGAACCTGATCCGAGCTGGCCCCTCTCCTATTTTGCCAACCATCTTGTTCATCGAGTGCCTGGACAATTGTCTATTCAGATCTCGCCACCGCGCTTGCTTTTTAGCAGGTCTCCCCTGCCTGCTTTCATGCCATGCCTGGCGACGGTGCCAAAGGAGACACAAGAGACTTGGCAAAAGGGCAACTCGGCAGCCTTCCCCCCGTTGCCAGACAAACATCCCACCAACCGCACATGCTGGGGATTCTGTTCCTCTGGCTGCTGAGGCTCAAAACATAAGAGCCTTCCAGCAGTAAATAAAGGAGGGAAGAGAAACGGCTTATGCATGGGAGACATCTGAGAATGCCATGTTAACGTCTTTGGAAGAAATTGCTGCTGCTGCCTTTTAAATCCCCCAGAGGGGTTGTGAAGGGAATGATTTTAAGCAAGACCAAAAGGGAGGGGATCAAAAGAGCAAGTCAGATGGTGTGTGTTTGTGTGTGTGTGTGTGTGTGTGTGTGTGTGTGTGTGTGTCTGATTAGGAACTGGAGATGGAGCAGCAGGTCAGGGCCACTCTATTATTCCCTAAAGCAATTGTGCATGTGTGTGTGTGTGTGTACAGTCATACCTCGGGTTACAGACGCGTCAGGTTGCATTTTTTTGGGTTATGGACCCACCGAAACCCAGAAGTATCGGAACGGGTTACTTCTGGGTTTCGGCGGTCACACATGTGCAGAAGCGCTAAATCGCGCTTTGCGCAGAAGTGCCGAATCGCAACATGCGCATGCGCAGACGTGGGTTGCAAACACTGCGGGTTGCGAATGTGCATCCCGCACAGATCATGTTTACAACCCGAGTGTCCACTGTATATGTACATGTATATGTATATGTATATGTATATGTATATATGTATATATACAGTGTGTGTGTGTGTGTGTGTATAGATAGTTCTCCAATATGGATACTGACTGATACACAAATCTCCACTTAAGAGGGCTTCTATAAAGAGTAATGTCTTCAGCAGATGCTGAAAATACAATGAAGATGGTGTCTTTCTGATGGAGAAAGTATACATTTCCTGTAGGGGTGTTTTACCCTGAACACATGAATTTCTGTTTCCTTAAACTCCAGTTCTTTGTATGTCACTGCTGTGTGAGGCTTGTTGGGTTGCATCCAATTAATGATGGCTACCATCTTTATTATCATTATTATTTTATTTTATTGGTACCCCACCCATCTGACTGGGTTGCCTCAGCCACCCTGAGCTGCTCCCTCCAAAATATCAAAAACACAATAAAACATAAACCAATAAAAAACCTTCCCTGTACAGGGCTGCCAGCAGATGTCTTCTAAAAGTGTGTAGCTATTTATCTACTTGACCTCTGTTGGGAGGGTGTTCCACAGGGAGAGCACCACTGCCAAGAAGGCCCTCTGCCTTATTTATTTCTTTATCACAGTTGCTTTATCTTCTAAGGATCTCAAGGTAGTCTACATGGCATTCTCCCCATGTCATCTTCACAACAACCCTGTGAGGTAGGTTAGGTTAAGTGATGGTGACTGGCTCAAGGTCACCCAGAGAGCTTCCCGGCTGACTTGAGAGGGATTCGAATTCTGCTCTCCCTGCCCTTAGTCCAACACTCCAAGCCATTACGCCACACTTTACGAATTCATGTCCTGCTGGACTTGATGGGCCATTAACCTCATCTATCAGGCTCACCTTATGTTCTTACAGCACTCAGTCATGTCCATTAGTTTCAGTGGGTCTACTCTAAGCAGAATTAGCTTTGGATTCAACCCATTGCCACAGGATGGGCAGCCGGAGGTGATAACCAGGTTAGACAGCATTGTCAAAAAATTAAAAACAGGGCTATTTAAACTTTTTATATGGCTTTTTATGGTACAGTTTTATATTGCAAACTGCTCTCTTTTTCCAAATGCATAGCGGTATAATAGAGAACACATTGTGAGTCATGACACCAAGTGGAATGTCTGTGTTCTGCCTTGTTTAGCCTTGCTGGTTAGCCCAGTTGGTTAGAGCATGGTGCTGATGACGCCAAGCTTCACGGGTTTGATCCCCATATGGGTACAAATTCCTGCAGGTGGGACGCGGGTGGAGCTGTGGTCTAAACCACAGAGCCTAGGACTTGCCGATCAGAAGGTCGGCGGTTCGAATCCCGCGACAGGGTGAGCTCCCATTGCTCTGCCCCAGCTCCAACCTAGCAATTCGAAAGCACGCCAGTGTAAGTAGATAAATAGGTACCGCTGCGGCGGGAAGATCATTGTGCCTGAAGTGGTTTAGTCCTGTTGGCCACATGACCCAGAAAGCTGTCCGTGGACAGATGCTGGCTCCCTTGGCCTGAAAGTGAGATGAGCACCGCACGCCCATAGTAGCCTTTGACTGGACTTCACCTTTATCTTTTTTACCTTGCACATTCCTGCATTGTAGGGGGTTGGACTAGATCAGGGGCGTCCAACTCCCAATAGACTGTGATCTACTCACAGTATAAAAAAAACTGGCAGTGATCTACCCAAAGTTGTGGAGCTCTTTTTTAGGAAGCCAAAGTTGGGTTTTTTTGCTATTTTGTAAGGAGATTACTGAAGGGCCAGAGATCAACCAGGTGTCGACATGCAGAGGGCCGGGAGGCCAGCTGGCTAGCCCTGGCTAGGCCGTCTCCTTCCAGCCGTCCCACTGCAAAGACCATCAGCCTCTGCTCTGACGTAAATCAGCAACCCGGGCTTCAGAGCCAGGGCACACTATCAGCAGAGCGAACTGTGCACACAGAATAGGCGTGAGGCTTGTGGAAGCATACTACAACTACAGATTGGTTAATCATAAATCAGGACAAAGAAACATGTCGTCTCTCTCACATTCTCAGAGAGAACGGGAAAAGCAAAAGCTATACACAACGGACATTCCCAGCAAACTGTGCAGGAATGTAAACAGACATGTGACACGCAACAGTTCCGCACGTCTGCTCCTTAAGGTGGAATGGAAATCTCAACACCAGGATCTACCAGGAACACCCCACGATCTACCAGTAGATCGCGATCTACCTGTTGGACATGCCTGGACTAGGTGACCCATGGGGTCCCTTCCAACTGTAGGATTCTATCATTCTAAATGAGAGGGGCAGTGTACCTTAGGATACGAGGTGATGGAGATGAAAACCAGGAGAGAGCTATTGCCTTCTGTGCCCTTCCGCTTGTGGGTCTCCTCAACGTGTTTGGTTCTGCCACTTTGTGAATCAGGATGGTGGGCTAGAGATAAATCTTCAGTGTGCTCTGGGCCTTGTTTGGGTTGGCAGCGCTGTGCCAGCCTCCAGAGATCAGAGTGGAGGCTGTGCCTTTCCCCTCCTCTGGCTTCACGACATAGCAATTGTTACACAACTCAGCTGCACCATCTTGGCTGCAGGTGGAGGGGGGAGTGTGTAGTATTAGGATCAGGTTGCATTGGAGGGCTAGCAGTTGTGACCATCAACCACTGTCAAAACCCCTGAGACAAGTCCCATTGCCTGCCAAGGTTATAAGGTAGCTGGAACTAAGCCAATTCCTTATTAAGGTGCAAGGGAAAGTCCCCAAAACCTGAGCTCTGAAATTTGAGCACCAGGACTGTGAGCAGGCCACGATTCTGTGGCAGCACAGAAAATACACGTACGAGTCTGTGTGCCAAACAGCAGTGCCAAATTCTTTTCCGATGAAAGATGACCCATCTAAGTTCTGCTAAACGTGCATGCTAGGGTTTTAACTTCTTGACTTTTTAAAAAAAAATGATTTCCTGAATCATAAAGGGATGAACCGTCACTTAGAAACACTGAAAAAAGGAACTAATTCTTCTCAGTTGTGTAAAAGGTCACCCCGAAATGAAAAGTTGCAATCACCGCATATGTGACATTACTCCTCATGAGTATTAGCACTTTAAAAAACTTTATGGAACTTTTAAGAACTTTATATAGTGCCTGGAGCGTCCTAAAGCTGTTTAGAATGTTCTAGTAGAATCCAAAAATTTGTCTATATAGAAAGCCTTGTGGGCACACAACTAAACTTCTTAAATTTTAATACTTTTTTCAGTGGCAATATACAATATCACACAAGAACCTCGATTTATTCTAAGCAATAAGAAGTGATGTACAATGTACAAAATACTGATTTTGTACAATGTACAAAACAATGTACAAAACTATGTACAAGTATCAGAAAATTTGCAAGCTCCATTTTTCCTGTACATGGTATGCATATGCCCAGCGTTTTTTCCAAGGGGTACTCAGTACTGACATCTCTTTTAAGGGTTTTTTAAAAAATGTGGCACTTACTGCAACAATGTTGAGTACCAGCACCTATTTTTCTAGAAAAAAAGCACTACATATTACAAATTACATTATACAGTTACATATACAAAAATAGAGTTATTGATTTCGGGGTGACCTATTTTCAAGAGATTTGAAAATGGCAGTTCATTTCTTTGTTTTTTTGGCAAACGTTCATCTAACTAAGCTACAGGAACATAAGGTTGTAAAAAAAGTTGCACACAACCTGTGAATTTACTTTGCTTCTTCTCTCCATAGGAAATCTTATTTAGATCTCCCTTCTACAGGTGCCTTCTGAAATTTCACCAGGCCTATAGATTTCGAAGGTTATTTTCATAGTCAACAGAGACTAGATACTTGCTCCTGATACATGTTTTGATCTTTGCATGCAGTGCTAAATTCCCTGCTCTCCACCCCTGCAGATCTACGAAGACCCCCAGTCTGCGCCCACATCACCTCTGCTGCAGAACCACATATTCACCGGAGAATAGAGCGAAATTGGAGAGCGGCTTTGGCAAAAACAAGGGGAAGAAGCGGTGACCTGCTGTGGCAGGAGAAAATCCATCAACAGTGCGCCCAGTGTTCGGAAAAGCAGCCAAGTGAAAGAGGCTGGCAAGGTAAATGGGACCCTTTGTGTTCTCACAATGCCGAGTTGGATGCAGGTTCGGCAAGCGAGCCTCCGTTCTGGAATCTGCCATGTGGAAAGGGAAGGAGGGGCAAAGAGCTGTTGAACGTTAAAGGAGCAGTCCTTCCCCGGGCAGAGATTGCAAAATGGCCAAAAGGAAAGTAGCAAAGAAGAAGAGTTTAGCTTTAGCAAAACAACCTCTCCAAATCCAGTCCACTTCTGCCGCTTCTACCTCCAGAGCTCAGTCCGCCCCCTTCCTAGGACCCATTGCTTCAAAATTGGGGGCAGGGGTGGGGGAAACTGATTTGAGGAGAATTCACCATCTATCTTACTCAAGTGGTGCCTGCAACAAAATGTTGGAGCATGAAGTCATTCTCCTGTTCAGGATTCTAGCTAGCCACATTGCCCTTTCCCAGAGCCATCAATCTCATTTTTTTGTCCACACACAAACACAAGTCAGTATCCTGTGACCACTTCAGACTCCCTGGAGGCCTCTGTAGGGGAGACAGGATGGTGGACCAGCCTGCTGGCTGGGGCTGGTGGGAGCTGGAGGGCACCAGGTTGGGGAAGCCTGAGCCAGATGAGCCTTTGGGGGGTTATATCCAATACTAGTTGCACTTAGCATTGAAAGAAGTGGCCATGATTAACTTGGAACCCGTTAGTTTGAATGGGTCTACTTGTGAGTAGAACTTAGTTGGATGCAGCCTTTGGTTTGATCCAACAGGGCTCTCCTTACTTTCTTAGCTTTCCCTGTAGCCACTAGCATAGTTCCTGATCCCAGGGATCCTTAAGTCATTTTTCTTCAACATTATACAGTGTGTCTGTTGTCAACTGGCTCCCATATAGGAAGAATTTTCTGTGGTAGCTCCCCGATTGTGGAATGCCCTCCCCAGAGAGGCTTTCCTGGCACCGTCACTGCATTTAAGTGCCAGGCAAAAGCATTCCTCTTTACCCAGGCCTATGGCTATTAAATAATCTATGGTCTGTGTAAGGACTGTTAGGATGAAGATTTTGTTATTAGGCTGTGTGTCATTATGTTTTTTATTATGTTTTTATCATTGATGTTCTGTAATGTGTTTTTATAATGTTGTACAACACATTGGGATCTTTTGAGAAAGGTTGGAATACAAATTTTATTATTAGTATTATTATTATTAATACACAATGAGACATATAAAATTTAGCACCCAACGAGATTTCCCTTTCTGCTGTGCACGTCTCTCACTTGGACTTGAGCTTCCCATTTGGGGGAATGGTATTCCATGCTAGCCCTACTCAGAGCAGAACCATTGAAGTTAATGGACACGGCTAACTTATGGTCATTAATTTCGGCGAGTCTCCTGATGAGTAGGACTCAGTTGCAGGCAGCCTTTTCTCCAGTGCTCCTGCAAACATTCATCAACACATTTTTTTAAAAAAAATAAATCCTTGTGTGCGGCATTTCAATTAAAGTCTTTCTCTGCTAATCTGTGCCTGTATGAACACAAGGTCCTTGGAAATCTTTGACTGGGCTGGTGTGTGTGGGGAGGGGCAGGGACTTTTCCTGTCAAAACAGAGATGGCACACTTTACCTTCATGCTTTGAAAGAAAACAAAAATTGGCATCTATCACAGCAGGCAAAAGGACCCATTTTTTATATATGCCTTTTAATGTCCACACATTTTCCTTTCCCTGAGATCCCTCACCAACAACAAAGTTATCGCCATCTACCTAATTCAGCATTAACATTTTTAATATGCTTTGGGATTCGCAGCCAGGAAGCCACACTGGGGGCTTTGTGATGTGCAAATCCCCTTTGAATGTGACTCTCAAATGTATTTCCCCATTTCCGATAATGCCATGCCTACTGCTTCTCTAATGTATGCTAATCTGGTTTCTTTAGAATACCTCCCACGTGGTGAGCAAAAATCGTAGTAGCAGGGGGATCAGCGAGTGGCAGCCTTAGGGAAATGATCTTCCCACCCACCCAGTAAAATCTTTGCAGAATTAAATCATGAGAGAGCCCCTCCTTCCTATGGTACCCCAAATACACACACCAAATATGTGTGCATACCAAAATTTTATTTATATATATATATATATTGATTCAATTATGTGTGCAGTGCAGAAATGGGACAGAGAGTCTTTTGTTCTCCCTCTTTCAAAATGCTGAAATTTGGGGCCATTCAAATATCACGTTTCCGTGCGCTAATCTGGTTCTCCAGAAACAGCTTAGTCATGCTGGCCACATGACCCAGAAGCTGTCTGCGGACAAACGCTGGCTCCCTCGGCCTATAGAGCGAGATGAGCACCACAACCCCAGAGTCGGCGGCGACTGGACCTAACGGTCAGGGGTGAAGGTAAAGGGACCCCTGACCATTAGGTCCAGTCGCGGATGACTCTGGGGTTGCGGCACTCATCTCGCTTTATTGGCTGAGGGAGCCGGCGTACAGCTTCCGGGTCATGTGGCCAGCATGACTAAGCCGCTTCTGGCGAAACCAGAGCAGCGAATGGAAACGCCGTTTGCCTTCCCGCCGGAGCACTTTGACATGCTTTCGAACTGCTAGGTTGGCAGGAGCAGGGACCGAGCAACGGGAGCTCACCCCGTCGCGGGGATTCAAACCGCTGACCTTCTGATCGGCAAGTCCTAGGCTCTGTGGTTTAGACCACAGTGCCACCCATGTCTCTAACGGTCAGGGGTACCTTTACCTAAATACCATTGATAGGCTGTCGGTCCAGAACAGGACATCATAATATGTGGTGGGAATAATTTAGGGCTGGTGTGGGGAACCTGTGATGCTTTGGGAGTTGGCAAACGACAGCTACCACCACCATCTCTGGCCAGCCAATGTAGGCATAGTTGAGCTAGATCATGGGTAGGCAAACTAAGGTCTGTGGGCCGGATCTGGCCCAATCGCCTTCTAAATCCAACCCGCAGATGGTCTGGGAATCACTGTGTTTTTACATGAGTAGAACGTGTGCTTTTATTTAAAATGCATCTCTGGGTTATTTGTGGGGCATAGGAATTCGTTCATATTTTTTTCTTTCCAAAATATAGTCCAGTCCCCCACAAGGTCTGTGGGATAATGGAGCGGCCCCTTGCTGAAAAAGTTTGCAGACCCCTGAGCTAGATTGACCAATAAGTGTGATTCAGCATAAGGCATCTTGCTATGTTCCTGTTTTCTGGGGTATTTCGTTTATTTCTTCCCCGCCCCCTCCTAAGGATTAGGTTGTAACTCTTGTCCCAGTTTAGCAGCATAATATTTCGGTTTCCAAGTAGCGAGCTGTTGGAGAGCTTTTCAGTGGAACTTTAGAGCACAAGAGGGCAAGGAAAGGGTTAGAGAACCCAATAAATACGAGGAGAGATCAGATAAGAGTCTCTTGTAACAAAAGAGGAGATGGAGAGGAGTAAAACAAGCTAGCTGGAAGCTTAGATAAGCACTTTCTGTCTCTGATGCTCTGCTTACATAACATCCAGCGCTTCCTTGCATCTTTGGCCTCTGCCTCACTCAGTTATCTGTCCCATAACTGATGGGCAACTTGAGTTTGGAAGTTAATAACAAGCTCGCTTGGAAGAAGCATGTGTGTCCCTAGATTTGGTCTGCAGAAGTACGGCTCGGGAGATTAAGCACAGCATATCTGGAAAGGGCAGGTTGGAGATGTGGGTTCGGATCGTGACATCTTCTGTTGGGTTGAAATAAACGACAGACGAGTGACAAGTGTCATATGGGAGGCATCTACCGAGCATGTCTCGGCGAGTCCCTTTTATTGAATATTACAGCATTGCCACATATGTGCTTGTTGCTGATTGGTTAACACAAATACAATGCAAGGGCATTAATCATCAATAGATTAAAGGTTGGGAAAGGGAACACATGGTTAGACAGGTGTGAAAACTTCCTTATTAAACTATTACTAGTGATTGATATTGCATGACTTAAAAGAACATAACAATCGCATTCCGTAGATGTGGTCAACAATGCGTTAAGAACAGGTCAGGGTATGATGTTTCATGAACTCAATGTGAACTGAACATTCTAGTAGAACTTCCCATCAATCTTCTGCACTTCGGTGGTAGATGGGACTGTTTACGAAAAAGGATAGGGGGAACTGCCTTATTTTCATGCACATCTTTCCCCAGCATCTCCATTTAAAACTGTATTTTTTTATTATTATTTAAAAAAAGCAATTTTATTGAAGGTTTTTAACATATTAAGTCCTAAAATCCAAACACATTTATAAAAAGCAATATATCCTAAAAGAATAATAATAATAAAGGAAAAGAAAATATAAAATAGAATACAGTGGTACCTCGGGTTACATACACTTCAGGTTACAGACGCTTCAGGTTACAGACTCTGCTAACCCAGAAATAGTACCTCGGGTTAAGAACTTTGCTTCAGGATGAGAACAGAAATTGTGCTCCGGCAGTGCAGCGACAGCGGGAGGCCCCATTAGCTAAAGTGGTGCTTCAGGTTAAGAACAGTTTCAGGTGAAGAACGGACCTCCGGAAGGAATTAAGTACTTAACCTGGGGTACCACTGTACTACAAAACACAAGTATATATATATAAAGAAAAAGAACAGATAAGAAATAACTAAAAAAAAGATAAAGAAACCCTTTATCTCATTTACATCATATACAGTGCTATCTTGGTTCTCAAACTTAATCCGTTCCGGAAGTCCGTTCCAAAACCAAAGCATTCCAAAACCAAGGCACACTTTCCCATAGAAAGGAATGCAAAATGGATTAATCCGTTCCAGACTTTTAAAAGCAACCCCTAAAACAGCAATTTAACATGATTTTTACTGTCTAACGAGACCATTCATCCATGAAATGAAAGCAATTAACAGTGTACTGCAGTCACACAGTCAAACAGTCAGTAGCTGAACTGGGTTCTACACAGTCACACACAAAAAGAGCCACAAAACCGCAAAATAAATAGCAAAAACAGACAGACCTCAGCATAACACTCAAAACGGAAGTGTGGCACTCAAAATGGAAGCGTGGCACTCAAAACAGAGCACATTCGGCTTCTGAAAAAAGTTCGCAAACCAGAACACTTCCGGATTTGCAGTGTTGGGGTTCCAAGTTGTTTGAGTACCAAGGTGTTTGAGAACTAAGGTACCACTGTAATATAAAAGAATAGAAAAATAGCTAAACATGATCTGTAATAACAGTTATTCAAGATGTCTAACACACTCCAGAGTAGTTTCTACCCCTCTGCAGGATGTAACTTTCCCCAAATTTCCCTCCAAGCCCGACCTTTAACTTTTCGTCAGTTGGAAAGCTGAGTTTTCAAGTAGCAAGGAAATGTCTCTGCCCCAGACCTTTGGGAAGGACGGTAGCTCAGTGGGAGCGCATCTGTGCCTTGAAAGCAGAAGCTCCTGAGTTCACTCCTCAGCACCTCCTGGCAGGATTGGGAGAGACTCCCTGCAAGAAACCCTGGAGAGCTTCTTCCAGTCAGTGTAGACAGCACTGAGTTCAATGAGCAAGTGGTCTGATTATATATAAGGCAGTTTCCTGTGATCCTACGTTTGACCTCCAACAGCCATTCCTGCTGCCAGGCCTAAGCAGACCAGCTTAGTAGGTGTACATGGCACACACTGGACCAGATTAGTCTCTTTTCCCCCTGCTGTTCCGAATGTGAGAGCATCCAAAGTCCTTTTGCTGCCAAGGCGCTGTGCCCGCCGAATGGGTGTACGCAGCAGGCTGCCAAATGTGAAGCTTCTCCCAGGGCTTGTGCTAATGCGTTGGCTTTGTCCTTTTATCTCATGGGTGCAAGGGAGACGGAGGAACAGATGACACGCAGCATTAGGGCTGGCTTAGTAGATATCGGCAGCCTGGCGTGCAGATGGCCTTCCGTCAAAGTTGGGCCAACACGCCCTGCAGGAAAGTGGTGTTTTTAAAAAAACAACATTAATGCCCCAAATCGGAGCAAAGACTCAGCTGGCGAGGTTTGCTCTGGAGGTCTTTGGTTAATTGCCAGGTGTTAGTAGGTTTTCTCTTGTGCCAACCCAGGCTGGCACTGCATGAAAATGGAAGTGAAGAGCTGGAAAGGATAAAGGAGTCAAGGTGGGTGACGCCCAGTTCATGGACCAAACAGATGCCAAAGTCACTTCTGTGTGGCTTTTTCGCCCTCTCAACATAATTGGCTGGTTTCCCGAGGGCTGATTGCAACGAGATTTCCCCCATTGTGTGTTAGGAAGGAGGCGCCTTCTTGTGAAAGAAGCTTGAAGCTGTGGGACTGGCAAAAAGAGGCATCATTTAGATATAAGAACCAGGATCAGGCCAAAGGCCCATCTGGTCTGGGAGTCTCACAGTGGCCAGCCGGAAACCTTTGGGAACCCCATAGGCAAAACCCAGAGTACAACAACCGTCTCTCCAATTGGAATTCCCCGCACAATACGGGGGCACAACGCCTCCAACACTGAGGTCAAACGTAGCCACTTGGAGCCATTTCCCCTGTGTTAAATGCCACACGTGTTTATGTCTCTAAGAAGCTATAACCTCCAGCCATCTCCATCAAGTGACTGTAGCAGTGTTCAAAATTCAAAAGTGAAGGTGCCAAGATGGCGCCTGACATTGCCACCATCTGGAGGTGCGTGCCTAGGGATCATTGGATCTTGACTATTTTCACACACTGATACCATATCCTGCAGAATTCTCTCCGTTATATTTTATCTGCACAATCGAACTGAATTTCAGGAACCAGGATGCTCTTTCTGTGCAGCTTGAGCAGGAACGATGAACAACATTATAGTTAATTGATTTAGCTTGTCTTCATTTGCCCTACCCAGCTGCCCTGCTCACAGTCGTGAAGAATATTCCTAAGTTATGAATGGCTTGTGTCACCATTAAGCAAAAGAGGTTGGAATAGGCCATTATATATGTGGACAGACCCTGGATCAAGTGATGTTTCTTCTTGAAGTTTTCAAAGCTCTTCACCTACCTCAAGGTTGTCCTCTGAACTAGCCAGATGTTTAACTGAGGATCAATCACAGTCAGCCCATCATTTGAAAAATGAGAATTTAGAGCTGTCTTGCCCCAAATGGCAACTGTTTTGGCAACTGTAACCTTGGTTTAAGGAGCCATTCAGTGCCCAGCTTATATATCTAAGTTTATAACACTGGACTGTAGCCCCAAACATTGAAATGGGCCTGTGGGGGAAGGATATGTCAATCCCTTTCCTTGCAGTTAACGTAAGAAGATAAGGAATATTCTTCTGGATCAGGCCAAAGGCCCAGCTGTTCTGGGATCCTGACCAGATGTTCCTAGGAAGCTCACAAGCAGAACCTCAGCACAACAGCCTTCGCGCCGCCTACAATTCCTAGCAGAGTGGAAGTTGAACCTAGGCATCTTGGTTGGTGGCCTTATCATCCAAGAATGTGTCTAATTCCCCTCTAAAGACATTCCCGGTTGGCAGCCGCCACTACTTCCTGAGGAAAGTGAATTCCATAGATACGTGAAACTGCTTGAGACAGAGTCGGACAACTGGTCCATTTTGCCTGGTATTGCCTAGATGCCCTGATTGGCAACCCAGAAGATAGACAGACTCATGCAGAGATGTTGCTGTACGTATAGGGGGCCCCAAGCCTCGATTGCCTGCTGCAAACTGGTTTCGTTTACAGATAAAACTGCGAAAGAGAAGGGGGCGGTTTTGCTGCTGTGTCCTGAGGGTGCAGAATGTCTGCTTTCCATTTAAATTTCTCCAGAATCCTTCTCGGAGCGTTAGAGGGAAGAGAGGGTGGCCATTTATTTCATCTGACAGCAACAGACCCGCTGAGCTCATGAAGAATAAGGGCATGCCAGCTCTCCCATGTTCGGCTTAAATTACCGGCGGGAAAAGAGCCTTTTATCCAGCTAGCTGGTCTAAGCCTGTTACGAGGAGCCTGTACACTGATAAGATGCGATAACCATTGATTTACTCAAACGGTTAACATCTCGGATGCTCAGCGCATAATTCTAAAAGCCTTTCAATCCTCTTCATTGTGATGAATGAGGCTCTGCCAGTTCCTGGCCCCGATACGTTGTTCCAGGTCAAAACCAACAGCAGAAAAGACTTGCCAGGGAATTTATTTTTATTCTGGAGCAGGAGAAGCAAAACGGAGTTGGCTCCGAGGTACCGCTTAGCACGGCTGTTTTTCACGTTGTTTACCAGGAGACATGGGGGGGGGGTCCCCTCCATCTGTCAGGCAGCAAACATATAAGTGAAAAATCAGTTAGATACACCTGTAAAAAATATTTGGATATATTATTGTTATTGTTATTATACCACCCTTCATCATAGGGCAGTTTACAGTATAAAAATACATAACATAATAGCAAACAAAACAAGAGCTCATCCATCCTATGCACAGTTTAAAAGGCCTTAGATTGTTTAAACAGCCAAAGGTTTGGGAGAAGAGGAACTAATAATAATAATAATAATAATAATAATAATAATAATTTATTTATTTATACCCCACCCATCTGGCTGGGTTTCCCCAGCCACTCTGGGCAGCTTCCAATAAAGTATTTAAATGTAGTAGTCTGTTAAACATTAAAAGCTGGCGCATAAAGATATGTAATGAAGGTGCTAGAGAGTCTTATCTGGGGAGAGCATCACATAAACATGGAGGCCCGTTCTTGTGCTGTCACCCTCTGGACCTCTCGTAGAGAAGGCACACCAAGAAGGGCCTCAGATGATGATCCTTGAGGTACTGTGGGGTGTCCTTGATTTAAAAAATCATTTTCTGCCCTTTATAGCCCAGCTTTCTTCCGACATGGAACCCAGGGCAGGGTACATGTAGTTCCCAAGTGTCATGCGTCCAGGCTTTGACCAGGCCAAGATGTGCTAAGCCACATTGGGGTGGGGGGGTGGCCACATGCGTCTTAAGAGCATAATCTGGGGCCACAGAAGCTAGTGAATCCCTAGTCTCTTTGTTGTTGTTGTTTAGTTGTTTAGTCGTGACCCCATGGACCAGAGCACGCCAGGAGGCACTCCTGTCTTCCACTGCCTCCCGCAGTTTGGTCAAACTCATGCTGGTAGCTTCGAGAACACTGTCCAACCATCTCATCCTCTGTCGTCTCCTTCTCCTTTTGCCCTCTATCTTTCCCAACATCAGGGTATTTTCCAGGGAGTCTTCTCATGAGATGGCCAAAGTATTGGAGCCTCAGCTTCAGGATCTATCCTTCCAGTGAGCACCCTAGTCTCTTATTGCAGCCTAATTAAAGGAAGGAGTTTCTGAAGCAAAGGACAAAAGCGTCCGGTCGGATTTTGTTTTAATAGGAATGAACTTACGGGACAGGATTCATGCCTTGATATGTATCGGCAGTGTTGTGCGTGGCTCCTTTCATGTCAGCAGAAGACCCTTCCGCATCTTACGACACTTAGGTAAAGTGCCAGCCTACGCCAAACCTTCCAGCCACCAAATCTGGCAAAATTATGGGACTTTTAGAAAGTAACAAGTTAGACCTCTGGAAGATGATCTGGACCGTGCATGACAATGGGAGAATGGAAGAGATAGGAGAGGAAGCAGACTTACTCCAAGCGCCTTTTCTGCAGGGAGAAAACAAAGGCTGGACCACACAATTGCAGCTGTGTGACTGGGGGCGATGGGTGTTTGTATGCGTAGGGGGCAGGTCTGCCTCTTGTCTTCTCTCCTGTCAAAGGAAAGACTTGGGAGGAAGCAGAGTATCCGGGAGGGGCCAAGGAACTCAGCTGTTGCAAACAAAATTCTTCATTGGTTTTAATTAAGCTGTCAACTTGAAAATAACTGCGTTGCCAAGCAACATGCTGACCATTGTCTTCCGTTGACGCAAAGGCACAGAAAATGAACTGCAGGCGTCATGTTAAGACTGCGTACTGACAACCCTTCGAGGAAGACACCAAGTTTCGTAACCTGCACGCGACTTTTTGTTATTATCTAGGAAATCTTTTAAGCAGGGCCTCAAGATGAACAAAATGTTACTGTTAGTGTCAGATGCCAAAGTTTCTTTCCCTTCTCCTTCTGTTCAATTTTAGATTTCCTTTTTGCAAATATATCTTAAAAATAAAAAACCCACAACTTTAAGATCCTTACTAGAGCAGGCCAGAGTCTCATCAAGTGCAGGATCCTGTTCCCACAGCTGCCAGACTAGCTCAGATAGCTGCGCTGGTTATACTGTGGTGCTCACAATGCCAAGGTTGCAGGTTTGATCCTGATAAGGGACAGCTGCATGTTCCTCCATTGCAGGGGGTTGGACTAGATGATCCTCAGCATAGCTGTCAAGTGTCCCTTATTTGAAGGGACAGTCCCTTATTCCAGCGCCATGTCCCACTGCTGTCCCTTATTGATGGATGTCCCTTAAATGTCCCTTAAATTTCAAAGGAAGCAGCTCCTCTCCCTCCCTCCCTGCTGGCCAGGGAGGAGGGAGACTCCAACTGTGTTGCTTGGCTGTGTTGCTCACCCAATAAGAAGTCTAAGAACGACTGGGGGTTGGAGCATGCATGCCTTGTGTGTGGCTAGTTAATGCAAGCTGAGGGGTTTTTTGAATGCTGGATGCCATTTTGTTGCACGTGCTGCTGCAAATTTTGCAGTGCAAAGCCAGGCCGGGGAGCCATCTTAAGTTGAGGCTGCATAGGCCTTGTGGTGCATGTGATTCAGATTCTATTCAGTTGAACCTCTGGTTACAAAGTTGGTTGGACAGTGTTCTCAAAGCTACTAGCATGAGTTTGACCAGACTGCAGGAGGACAGGAAGACTGGAGTGTCTGGAACAGGTGAGGCTGCAGGTCCCTTATTTTGGCTGCTGATCCCTTATTTTCAAGGCTGCTGGTCCCTTATTTTCAAATCTGTAAGTTGACAGCTATGATCCTCAGGGTCCCTTCCAACTCCATGTTTCTATGAGATTCCTATGGGAAGCCTGAAAAACCAGGACCCGAGTGCTGCAGCAGCACTCTCCATGCTTGCAATTCCAGAAACTGATATTCAGAAGCATATTGCCTCCAACGTAGGCCTGGTAGCCATTGAGAGCGTTTATCATCCATAAATCTGTTTCACCCTCTTTCAAAGCTTTTCATGTAGGTGGCAACTACGACCTCTTGTGGGAGCAAATTCCCTCATTTAACTATGCAGTATGTACCATATTTTTTGCACCATAACACTCACTTTTTTCCTCCTAGAAAGTAAGGGGAAATGTCTGTGCGTGTTATGGAGCGAATGCCTGCGAGTGGCAGGGGGGATCTGCTGCAGTCATGAGCAGAGGATCCATGGTTCCCCTTCCTTCCCTCCTCCGTGGTTACAAAGCATGGATCCGCATGGATCCTCAGGATTTTTGCACTGGGCTACTCCAAACTCACTGTCAGATCACATGTCTGTGGCCACAGCATGAACCACAAAAATCATATATCCACTATTTCGTTTAGAATATTGTTTTTCTTGTTTTCCTCCTCTAAAAACTGTGCGTGTTATGGTCTGGTGCGTGTTATGGTCTGGTGCGTGTTATAGAGCGAAAAATACGGTAACTAAGTACTTTCTTTTGTCTGTCTTGGACCTTCAAAACTGTTATGTACTGAAATTCTCACCCTGGGCCAGCAGGGGGATACTGTAGATAGTTTTCACTCAGGTCCACATAAGGAATTGAAAGTGATGTTCAGTGATTGGATAGTTACAGAAAGTGGTTACTGTTGCGTTGTAGTTGAGCTCTAGATAAGCAGGTTGGCTGAACCCTTCAGCTCAGTTCTGTTCTGGCCTGTGAACAAACAAGAGCTGTCTGAAGAATCACTGTGTCATCTGATATGTTCACCCACAACTTAACAAAAACGGTGTTCAAAATTAGCCAGGCGTCAAGCACAGTTTGCATCTGACTATTGGCTGCCTGTGACCAAGTGAAGATGCCTAGGCACCAAGATGGCTCCTGACATCTCCACCATCTGGAGATACTTGCCTGGGGATCATTGCATCTTGACTGTTTGTACACACTAATACCACATCCTGTAGAATTCTATCCGTTTTATTCTATCTCGGGCAATTATCTTGGAGCCTAGGGCTAATTTCGAACACCGTTTTGAAGGTTCAAGACAGACAAAAGAAAGTACTTAGTCACACATTGCATAGTTAAAAGATGGAATTTGCTCTCACAAGAGGTCGTAGTTGCCACCTACACAAAAGGCTCTGAAAGAGGGTTGAACAGATTCATGGATATTTGCATGCCTGAGCAGGAGAATGGAACAACGTTCTAGTTCATTGTTGTCGCTTGTCTTCATTTACCCCACCCAGCTGCCCTGCTCACAGTTGTGAAGAATATCCCTACATTATATGTCACCAAAAAAACGAAGATCATGGGCACTGGGCCTATCACCTCCTGGCAAATAGAAGGGGAAGAAATGGAGGCAGTGAGAGATTTTACTTTCTTGGGCTCCATGATCACTGCAAATGGTGACAGCAGACACGAAATTAAAAGACGCCTGCTTCTTGGGAGAAAAGCAATGACAAACCTAGACAGCATCTTAAAAAGCAGAGACATCACCTTGCCAACAAAGGTCCGTATAGTAAAAGCTATGGTTTTCCCAGTAGTGATGTATGGAAGTGAGAGCTGGACCATAAAGAAGGCTGATCGCCGAAGAATTGATGCTTTTGAATTCTGGTACTGGAGGAGACTCTTGAGAGTCCTATGGACTGCAAGAAGATCAAACGTATCCATTCTTAAGGAAATCAGCCCTGAGTGCTCATTCGTAGGGCATCCCATCTGGGCATGGACCTGCCCAGAGTGGCTGGGGCAACCCAGTCAGATGGGTGGGGTACAAATTATTATTATTATTATTATTATTATTATTATTTGGAGTTGCTTGGCTGCTGCATGATCCATACAGTGCAGAAGGTCTGTAGCTCAATGACCTAGTGAATGCCTTGCATGCAAAAACCTGCCTGGCCTCTTCACTAGAGCTGGAAGAGAAACCTGCCCAGAACCCCAGAGAGCTGTTGCCAGTCAGTGCCGACAATACTGGCCTAGATGGACTCATGTTCTAACTCTGTATCTTCGGCTTCCTATGTTCCTATAGTCAAATCTATGATTTTCCCAGTAGTGATGTAAGGAAGTGAGAGCTGGACCATAAAGAAGGCTGATTGCCGAAGAATGGATGCTTTTGAATTATGGTGCTGGAGGAGACTCTTGAGAGTCCCATGGACTGCAAGAAGATCAAACCTCTCCATTCTTAAGGAAATCAGCCCTGAGTGCTCACTGGAAGGACAGATCCTGAAGCTGAGGCTCCAATACTTTGGCCACCTCATGAGAAGAGAAGACTCCCTGGAAAAGACCCTGATGCTGGGAAAGATGGAGAGCACAAGGAGAAGGGGACGACAGAGGACGAGATGGTTGGACAGTGTTCTCGAAGCTACAAACATGAGTCTGACCAAACTGCGGGAGGCAGTGGAAGACAGGAGTGCTTGGCGTGCTCTGGTCCACAGGGTCACGAAGAGTCGGACACGACTAAACGACTAAACAACAACAACCCCTAAATGGTAACTAGGCATTCTTGTTTTGGCAACTGTAACCTTGGTTTAAGGAGCTACCGGTATTTGGTGCCTAGCTTATATATCTGAGGTTCTAACACTGCTTCAGACCTTCCACTTCACTGGGTGGCCCTAAGTTCCAGTGTGGAAACTTCCTCTGTGTTCCCGAAAGATGCCTCTAAAAACATTTTTGTAGTATGCAAAAGAATTTGAATTTAGCTGTCTTAAGAATGAATTGATGGGTGAGATGGCATGTTTTTAGTTTGCTGGAGGGGGCAGAGACCTTCATGCAAAAAGCTTTTGCACAACTGGTCCAGACAAGGGCACCAGCATTAATACATTCTTAAGAAATATTGTCCCGATCTTAAGTCTATGGAGTCTCCTGGTCAAATCCCAAAGCTTGTCTAAAACACAACCCAAAGAAGCAGAGGATATCACATCTGATCTTCTTGCAGGACTGCCATTCAGCATTAGCAGGGCTATCAGATGTCCTGTATTTATTTATTTTTTTCAGCCTTTGGAGCGACAGCTCACAGCCAGGCTTGTTGGCAGCACTGCCCTGTTACATATGCCCACAACATGCCTGCTTTAGCTATTAATAACGCTGCATTGCCTTGCTTTATGCCGTGGGCTGGTTCTTACTCAAATGCTGGGCAGGCGCAGGGCAGTGTTAGAACATGCCTCAGAGACCAGGGTTTGGGCATGTTGCATCCCTTAATATGTACACCCTGTACATCTTGCCGCACACAAAGGTCTGAGCATGCTAGTTGTGGGTCAGTTGGAGCTGACCTTTTGTCTTGCACTGGACTGATCTCCCAGTGTCAATCATAGGTAAAGGTAAAGGGACCCCTGACCATTAGGTCCAGTCGTGGGCGACTCTGGGGTTGCGGCGCTCATCTCGCTTCACTGGCCGAGGGAGCCGGCATACAGCTTCTGGGTCATGTGGCCAGCATGACTAAGCCGTTTCTGGCGAACCAGAGCAGCACACGGAAATGCTGTTTACCTCCCCACCGGAGTGGTACCTATTTATCTACTTGTACTTTGACGTGCTTTCGAACTGCTAGGTTGGCAGGAGCAGGGACTGAGCAACGGGAGCTCACCCCGTCGCGGGGACTCGAACCGCTGACCTTCTGATCAGCAAGTCCTAGGCTCTGTGGTTTAACCCACAGCACCACCCGCGTCCAATCATAGACCATGGCAAATTGTCACAGATGCACCATGCCAGTCTAGGCCAACCCAATGCACTCTAAATGCACGGCTATGTTGCCTGGAGTTAATGGGAGTTGTAGTCCCAAATACCTGCAGTGTGCCAGGTTGGGGAATGCTCATATTCCTTAGAATTATAGAGTTGGAAGGGACCCTGAGGATCATCTAGTCCAACCCCCTGCAATGCAGGAATCTCAGCTAAAGCATTTATGTCCATCCCACCAATGCAGCAGCTGACAGCATTGCATGTGGAATTTAGGCAGGAGCAAGAGGAAGCTGCTTTTTCCCCTTGTTTTGCTGTTTCCTCAGTGCTGGCCTCATCTGATATCAGAATGTTCCACAAAACGTTGGGGATAAGGATGCAAAGAAGGTGCGTGTGTGTGTGTGCGCGCACACACACACGCACGCAAAGTTTGATTCAAGGGACAAGGCAGTGAGGGGCTGTCATCCCAAATAACGAAGCAAAGCCTGTTTGCCAGCATTTGGTGGCGAAGAAAGGAACATAGCAGAGAATGCAGCTTAAAGGCAAGAGCAATTAATTTGCCTGTTTTAAAATACTCTCTTGAGTTGAAATCACATGCTCGTGACTCACCAAGTCACAATACATGCAACAATAGCCTTCATGTAAGGAAGTTAAGTTTAGACAGGTCTCATGATACGTAATCTCTTAGGCGGCTTGTGGGCGCAAAATACCGCCGGCATGCAACTCCTTGTTAGTGGGATTTGCGCCGGCAGCCAATCTGCGACTGGGCCAAGTTCAAGGTTACGGTACTAATACATAAGGCCTTCTGCAGCTCAGGAGCAGGTTACTTGAGATACGGCCTTATTCACTTCTGTGGGAGAAAGTTAAGCAAAGAAGATGCAATCAGGAATGCCATTGGAGAGGTCTTTCAAATTGCTACTTCTCCCCTGGTGGTCCTCAGTTATCACAGCTATTAAGAATCAACCCTAGGCTGGGCTGCACAGTTCTACCAGTTTTAACCTGCGTAGCCCTGCCCTCGAGTTTTGCTTCTTGGTCACACTCGAGTGTAACGGAATGTTTGCTTATGACAGTCAAACTTGCATTTTTCAGAGCTTTCCCAGGAAGAAAACCCTGCAGGCAGCCGTCTCCCTCCTTTTCCGTGGGAGAGCAATCAGCAGCGGCTGTGTTTCACCTGAGCAAATGTCAAGGGCTGACATTCTTGATTTAGAAGCCCTTTCTTTACCCGGCTGAATGGATTCTGGGGAATTCTGAGCCAAACCCAATTGTGCAGGTTTCAGCTCTGTGTGGAGTAACAAGAAAAGTGTGGGGAGGGAGAGAAAGACTGGCAGGGCTCTGGCGAGTGTGTGACAGAGGAGAGGGGGGCGGCGATTTATGGGGTTTTGCGCCACACGCAAATCCAGAAGCCAAGGGAAGGGTCTGAGCAGTCAGAGATGGACATGAGGGCACAGAAAGGATGGGAGGCAGAGGAAGAGGCTGTGCAGGCAAGGGGCAGGCCAGTCAAACCCTCGACATCTCCAGCCTCACTGTCTCCCAGAACCAGGAGGGGCAACTTCCATGCAGGAGAAGTCTCATGTGGTATATTCATACTCCATCAGATGAGTGTACAGTGGTACCTTGGGTTAAATACTTAATTCGTTCCGGAGGTCTGTTCTTAACCTGAAGCACCACTTTAGCTAATGGGGCCTCCCACTGCCACCGCGCGATTTCTGTTCTCATCCTGAAGCAAAGTTCTTAACCCGGGGTACTATTTCTGGGTTAGTGGAGTCTGTAACCTGAAGCATCTGTAACCCAAGGTAAAGGGACCCCTGACAGTTAGGTCCAGTCGTGACCGACTCTGGGGTTGTGGCGCTCATCTCACTTTATTGGCCGAGGGGGCCAGCGTACAGCTTCCGGGTCATGTGGCCAGCATGACTAAGCCGCTTCTGGCAAACCAGAGCAGCGCACAGAAACGCCATTTACCTTCCCGCCGGAGCGGTACCTATTTATCTACTTGCACTTTGACGTTCTTTCGAACAGCTAGGTTGGCAGGAGCTGGGACCGAACAACGGGAGCTCACCCCGTCACGGGGATTCGAACCGCCAACCTTCCGATCTGCAAGCCCTAGGCTCTGTGGTTTAGACCACAGCACCACCTGAGGTACCACTGCACATAAGCCTAGGAGTGTGTGGTCCCACAGATTTCTTGATGGCTGCGCTGGGCATGAAACTGGAAAGCAGCCATGTAGATTCCAGAAACCCTGGATAGCTCAGTTGCTAGAGCTTGAGAGTCTTGGGTTAAAGCCCCACTTTGGGCAAAAGATTCTTGCATTTCAGGAGGTTGGACTAGATGAGCCTCGCGGTCCTTTCCATCTCTGTCTACAGTTTTGTGATTCTGTGGGTGTGCATCCGGTGTACCTTAGGAGCTGCTGTTAAGTGTGTGCTTTTGTCAATAAAGAATTAACTGTCTGCTGTTTGCCTTCCTGGGCTGGGTATGCACAGGACCGGAGTGGGGTGGGATTGGGCAGGCAGAACAGGCTGTGCACCTGTGATTTATGGACTGTGGCCACCTCTGGTCCTCTCTCACGAAACACAGTGACGCACAGACTCAAGAGGAGTGGCCTTCCCACATCTTCCAGATGTTATTTGGCTTGACCTGGTGAAATTCCTTTCGCAGCCACATTTTTCAAGTTTAGGCTCAAGCCCAGTGGTGATTTGTCTTGCGAGGGCCATTTAAAAGGGATGGGGAGCGGGGAGAGAAAGCTCTTTGCACACCTGGATTAAATCAAGCTCTTTCCAGTATGTCTGCGAGTTACTAAGGAAATTAGAGAAATGGAAAGTTGCATGGTTTCCAACAGTGCTGCCTGGGAATAGCTTTAAGCACCAGCCTTGGTCATGGAATATGAGTGAAGTTGTGAATTGGGGGAGAAGCAGGATTGGACTTGCTGCGCCCCACTGGTCCACACTTTCATCCAAAGTCGTGAGCGGAATCGACTTTGAGAGAGGGCAGAGGGCTGCTGGGCAATATCCAAGTCCTGTATGTGTTGCAGGAACAGGGGAACTGTGGGCAAAGTTTTGACTTCCCCCACCTTACCTGTTGTTGCTGATGGCAGCAGCTGCTGCGTACATCTCTCATTCCAGGTATGGTGAGCAAATGTCTTTTTTTTTTTAAATAATATTTATTACTTTTTCAACAATTTAAACACATAAAAAAAAGAAAAAAGAACAATACAATGCAGTACAAAAGCACTACATAACACATTAAACTAACAAAACAAAACAAAAACAGTTTTAAAAAAATCAAACAATTTCAATATCTTATCTTTCATTCACTTATTTCCGTGGCCGCCTCACACCTCCCTTTTTGTATTCCACTTCTGTTGATTGTTTCAGCAATTCCTTTCCATCTTCCTCTGCTTTCTATCCTTTAATTATCTTAACAGATTCTAGCCTTATTTTTCCTTTTAATACTCTATTAATCTATTTATACTTAATTCCTTATAACATTTCTACTAAAGCCATATAACTTCATTCCAACATTTTTCTAACATTCATTAATTTTACAATATTTCTGTAAATAGTCTTTAAACTTTTCCCAGTCTTCTTCCACCGACTCTTCTCCCTGGTCTCGAATTCTGCCAGTCATTTCCGCCAATTCCATATAGTCCATCAACTTCATCTGCCATTCTTCCCGAGTGGGTAAATCTTGTGTCTTCCAATACTTCGCGATGAGTATTCTTGCTGCTGTTGTTCCATACATAAAAAAAGTTCTATCCTTCTTTGACACCAATTGGCCAACCATGCCCAGGAGAAAGGCCTCTGGTTTCTTCAGAAAGGTATATTTAAATACCTTTTTCATTTCGTTATAGATCATCTCCCAGAATGTCTTAATCCTTGGGCATGTCCACCAAAGGTGAAAGAATGTACCTTCAGTCTCATTACATTTCCAACATTTATTGTCGGGCAAATGATAAATTTTTGCAAGCTTGACTGGTGTCATATACCACCTACAAATCATTTTCATTAAATTTTCTCTTAGGACATTACATGCCGTGAATTTTATACCTGTGGTCCATAACTGTTCCCAGTCAGCCATCATTATGTTATGTCCAACATCTTGTGCCCGTTTAATCATAGCTGATTTCACCATTTCATCCTGAATATTCCATATCAACAGCAAGTTATACATTCTTGACAGATTCTTAATTTTTGGATCTAACAATAGCAAATGTTGGTTCTTACCATGTTAAGTGACTTCTCTGTAGGGAGAATTGGGATCCTTGATGTGGCTCAGAGATTGGTGGACTCTCTTGGGATCCAGAATGGCCCTCCATTTCCCTGATTTTTTTGGGACCATAAAGAGAATAGAGTAGCGGCCAAAGCATTGCTGTGGTTGTGGCACAGGCTCTATTGCGCTGATCTCCAGCAGATGCTGGATTGCTTAAAGCATCAGGTGGTGTTTCTTGGGGTCTCTAGCATTGGATGAGCCCCTGTAGGGACAAAAGGAAGAATAGTTTTCCTTGTGACTCTCTCTCTAATAATAATAATAATTATTTATTATTTATTCCACAGCCACTCTGGGTGGCATCCAACAAAGTGTTAAAATACAGTAGTCTGTTAAACATTAAAAGCTTCCCTAAAGAGGGCTGCCTTCAGATGTCTTCTAAAAGTCTGGTAGTTGTTCTTCTCTTTGACATCTGGTGGGAGGGTGTTCCACAGGGCGGGTGCCACTACCGAGAAGGCCCTCTGCCTGGTTCCCTGTATCATGGCTTCTCACAGTGAGGGAACCACCAGAAGGCCCTTGGCGCTGGACCTCAGTGGCCGGGCAGAACGATGTGGGTGGAGACGCTCCTTCAGGTATACTGGACCGAGGCCGTTTAGGGTTTTAAAGGTCAGCACCAACACTTTGAATTGTGCTCAGAAACGTACTGGGAGCCAATGTAGGTCTTTCAAGACCAGTGTTATGTGGTCTCGGCGGCCGTCACCAGTCTAGCTGCCGCATTCTGGATTAGTTGTAGTTTCCGGGTCACCTTCAAAGGTAGCCTCACGTAGAGCGCATTGCAGTGCCTTCTTTTTGTCCCTGGTCTCTACCAGTGCATCTGAAACAGCTTGCCCCCCCTTGAAGGGCTCGCTGGCCAGGCTGGTCTTGGCTTTGGCTTCTGACTGCCACTGTTTAAACCAGAGCTGCCTGCGCACTCCTACATCTGCTGCCATGGCCCTTGCTGCAAATTGCAAAGCATCTGATGAGGCCTCGGCCACATAATTCAGCCCCCTGCGATGCAGGAATCTTTTGCCGAATGTGGGGTTCAAACACACAACCCTGACATTATCATGCTCTACCTACTGAGCTATCCCAGTAGACAGCACAGCCTGAGCTAGATGAACAAACTACAGCCTTGTACGTCCATCTGTTTTCGTGTGGGAGCCTTGCTGTGGCTGCTCCCCTCCATTTATTCCAGAGTTCCACTTCTGCTTGTTATGAATACTCTTCTGTTGGTAAGTGCTACCAATTGTGCCTTAATGTAACGGGTAGATTTCACGAAATGCAGGCAAACTATAATTTCAAAAACACAGATTATATCCTGAATATGTTGCAGAAAACCCAGCCGACCGGTGGCTCAGCCTGCAAGAGAGCGTAGGCTTTATTATGTTGAAAAGGCCTCTTTGGAAATTTCTCAACACATGAATCCCATGTTGGGAGCAGCAGAAACGTTTAATTTCCATTGATTTGAAGCTGTGGGGGGGTTGGGAAATGAAACCCGCGCCCTCCCATTAAATGGAAAGATCCCTGAAACTCAATGTTGAAGTTTCTCCTTCTCTCTTGTGTTTTCCAGGTAGAAAAAAAGGAGTTTCAGCATCGTAACGTGGACGAGGCTTTTGACTGCCAGCTGCCTGGAACGACAACCTTTGAGTGAGCTAATCAGCGGCCCTAATGAAATAATTTCCAGAGGAAAAGTGATTTTTTCGCCCTTACTTAAATCCTTTTTTTCATTTAAGGTCTCTCTTCCCACACAGCAAAGAGGTGGGTGGGGGAGTGTTCCTTGACATTGTTAATAATTTCCTCCCTCAAACTGCCGGGGTGGCAAAAAAAGAAACAGAAAATTGCAGTTGTTTGCTTTCAATAAACCTTTGGAGGAATTAGCAGCTGCTGGAGGAGAGCTGAAGGAAAAAAGAGTTGTGAAGGTGGATGGAGCCTTTTATTTTTCTCATAAAAGGAGATAAAAGATGATCAGGGATTCGGTCCTGTTTCAGTCGCTCCAGGACATAGTAATGTGGGCTGTTCCCTTTGGACAATAAAGGCAATTAAGCTACTGTTTGCAGCCTAAACAGAGCCCTGGAAGGAAACCTCCGCTTTTGCTTGCCTCAGCCACTGGCGTTTCACTCGAGCATCCGGGCTAAGGAGGAGGCGGCGGCTGCAGCGGGTCAAGATGCTGGCCATCAGGAAGAGGGGCTTCAAGATGTATACTCTTGCCTTATTGTTTGTCATCACCATCACGTCGTTCTTGCTGAACTACAGCCACAACACGGTCATGGTCGCCTGGGACCCCAAACAGCTCATCTACCAGTTTTCGGAGCAGTTTCGGAGACTGATGAAATATTCCCGGAGGCCTTGCAGCTGCCGCACGTGCATTTCTGAAGAGGGGGTCTCGCTCTGGTTCGACGACAGGTTCAACCAAACTATGCAACCCTTCCTGACCACACAGAATGCCTTCATGCCCGAAGACAGCTACAAGTGGTGGCTGGTGAGTAGCTTAGCTGTGGAGGAGAGAGACCTGTTTGCCTTGGGGTCTCCCCACTTTCTTGTGTTGTTTTTTCCCCAGCCTTCAGTCATCCAAATTTTCCCTAGCCATTTTTAATTGGTGTGTATGTGTGAACCAAGAGGGACGCGGGCGGCGCTGTGGTCTAAACTACTGAGCCTAGGGCTTGCCGATCAGAAGGTCGGTGGTTCAAATCCCTGTGATGGGGTGAGCTCCCGTTGCTCGGTCCTTGCCCCTGCCCACCTAGCAGTTCGAAAGCATGTCAAGTGGAAGTAGATAAATAGGTACCACTCCAGCGGGAAGGTAAACGGTGTTTCCGTGCGCTGCTCTGGTTCGCCAGAAGCGGCTTAGTCATGCTGGCCACATGACCCGGAAGCTGTCTGCGGACAAACGCCAACTTCCTCGGCCTATAGAGCGAGATGAGCACCACAACCCCAGAGTCGTCCGCGACTGGACCTAATGGTCAGGGGTACCTTTACCTATGCGTGAACCACCAGCATTTTAGTGCAGGATTCTCCAGAAACAGGCACATTTCTGTATGCACTTTTGACCAAGACGAAACATCTTTTCAAGCAATTTCCCCCTAATGCGATGTAAATCTTTTGGTGTTGTTTTTCACAAACATGGTGCATTTTCCTTTACCCTCGTACGTGCATTGTTGTGCACCTCGGTTGGTTGGAGCCTTGCGTGGCCAAATTTGTAAGGATCATAAAATCGTAGGAAGAGTTTCATTAAAAATTCCCAGCTATTGGCAAATTGAATCAAAGGATCTGAGAGCTGCATCTAGTCCAACCCTTCAATGCAGGAATCTCAGCTAAAGCGTCCCTGACATATAGCCAAACAAACCTCTGCTTAAAAACCTCCAAGGAAGGAAAGTCCACCACCTCCTGAGGGAGACCATTCCACTGTCAAACAGCTTTTACTGCCAGAAAGTTTTTCCTGATATTTAGTCAGAGTCTTCCTCTTGTGAGGCTTCCCTAGAGGGTTCTCTGGCTGGAGGCTCCCAGTACGTTTCCGAGCACAATTCAAAGTATTGGTGCTGATCTTTAAAGCCCTAAACGGCCTCGGTCCAGTATACCTGAAGAAGCATCTCCACCTCCATCGTTCTGCCTGGACACTGAGGTCCAGTGCCGAGGGCCTTCTGGCGGTTCCCTCACTGCGAGAAGCCAAGTTACAGGGAATCAGGCAGAGGCCTTCTCGGTAGTGGCACCCGCCCTGTGGAACGCCCTCCCACCAGATGTCAAAGAGAAAAACAACTACCAGATTTTTAGAAGACATCTGAAGGCAGCCCTGTTTAGGGAAGCTTTTAATGTTTAACAGACTACTGTATTTTAATACTTTGTTGGAAGCCGCCCAGAGTGGCTGGAGAAACCCAGCCAGATGGGCAGGATATAAATAATAAATTATTACTATTATTATTATTATCTTCATCCCTGAGCATTGGCCATCAGGGCAGGGCCCGATAGATCCTTGCAAGCATCTGGAGGGCCACAGATGTGGTCAACAATAGGCATTGAACCTTTGTGTTATTCATTCATCCCCTCAATGTGTTTCCCAGCCATTTTCGTAACTATCATTTTGTTTGCTTGTTACATTTCTATCCCACCCGTTTCTCCAAAGAACTCAAAAGTGACTTGCATGGCTGTCCCTTTCCCCCATATTATCCTCAGAGCAACTCTGCAAGGTAGTCTTGAGAGTGAGTGTCTGGCTCAAGGTCAACCAGCAAGCTTCCTGGCTCAGGTGGGGATTCGAACCCTGATCTCTCCCAAGTCCTAGTCCAACACTCTAACCACCAAACCACCACTGGCTCTCAACAAATCTACAAAGAAGTTGCCTTTTGTAAGAACACTGCAGTTGCACAAACCTAAATTTCCGGCATGCTCTTGGATCCCTCCTGCAAATTACTGACAGCCTGGAGGCAGCTTTAGTGACCAATCTGAGAAACGGTTTGTTCTGCATGTTATCTGGTTTCTGTGGCAAGCTGTCCATCAGAAATTTCTGTCGTGGGTGGCTTTCCCGATATCTGAGAGGCCCGTTAAATCTGTGCTGACAGCAGGGGGGGGGGGACACCTGCCAATCCTCCCCAAAATCAATATCATTAGAGGCAATGACCGGATTTCTGTTGCCTGTGGTCCCGCCAGCTGGCTCATTTCTTACTTCACATTATAATTGGGTTTGGGCGGGGGTAGGAAACAGCTGCAGAATAGATGTTCACATTTGCCCGTAAGGAAATAAAAGCACCATATTATGGAAATTGCAAGTCTAGGTAGGGATACCAATGTGGTGTAGAGGTTAGAGTGTCGGACTAGAAACTGGGAAACCAGGGTTTGAATCCCCATTCTGCCACGAAGCTCACCGGCTGACCTTGGACCTCTCAGCCTAACCTACCTCAAAGCGTTGTTAGGAGGATAAAATAGGGTGCATGGGAATGCAGGGATCTTTTTTTCCCCTGGTGGGGGACACACCATGCTCCTTCTGGGGTAGTTTGTTCACCTTTGGTCCTCAGCCTGCACTCCGATCTCACCTGTGGCTCTTAGAAGCAGTCAGCATGCAACAGCGGCCACACTCTGGGAATGGCTTTGACTGACTGGCTAAACCCCTTGAGGGTAGCTGATGGGTCTCAAACCCTCGGTGAATTAAGGATTTCCCCTGCATGTGAAGACAGGCTCAGCAGATTGAGACCATTCATCATCATCATCATCATCATCATCATAATTATTTTTTATTTATACCCCGCCCTCCCCAGCCAAGGCCGGGCTCAGAGCGGCTTACAAGCAATAATAAAAACAAGATGAATGATTACAACTTAAAAACAAAAATAAAATACAACATTAAAATAATGGAACATTAAAATATTAAAATGTAGCCTCATCGCAGGAGGAGAAGGAAATGAAAAAAGAAAGAGAGGGAGGGAGGGAATCAAATTGGCTCCAAGCCAAAGGCCAGGCGGAAGAACTCCTTCTTACAGGCCCTGCGGAAAGAAATCAGATCCTGCAGGGCCCTGGTCTCATGAGGCAGAGCGTTCCACCAGGCTGGAGCCAGAGTTGAAAAGGCCCTGGCTCTGGTTGAAGCCAATCTAACTTCCTTAGGGCCCGGGACCACTAGGGTGTTGTTATTTATGGACCTTGAGGCTCTCCGTGGGGCATATCGGGAGAGGCGGTCCCGTAGGTAGGAGGGTCCTAGCCCGTGAAGGGCTTTAAAGGTCAAAAGTAGCACCTTAAATCTGACCCTGTACTCCACCGGGAGCCAGTGCAGCTTGAAAAGCACTGGGTGAATATGCTCCCATGGCAAAGACCCCGTGAGGAGCCTCGCTGCAGCATTCTGTACCCGCTGGAGTTTCTGGGACAGCTTCAAGGGCAGCCCCGCGTAGAGCGAATTACAGTAGTCAAGCCTGGAGATGACCGTCGCATGGATCACTGTGACCAGGTCGGGGCGGGAAAGGTAAGGGACCAACTGCTTGATGCGGCGAAGGTGGAAAAATGTCGCCTTGGATCGCTTCTCGGCCTTTTGGCTAAGATCAAGTGTAGTATCTGTTCTTATCAGTTTAATATCTGATATGTCCTCTATTTGAGGACTATATAAAAATGTCGCCTTGGCTGTTGCTGTAACTTGCGCCTCCATGGAAAGGGAGGCGTCAAGGATTACACCCAAACTCTTAACGGAAGGCAATGGCACTAATTGGGCCCCCGCAAGAGAAGGGAGTTGGTCCCTCATCCCCATGCCATCCCGACCTAGTCATAGGACCTCTGACGCTCAAGAAGTGGGTCTGACGCTCAAGAAGGCGGTTTCTCCAAGAGCTTTAATCAAGGAAACGAATGTGATATCTACCACGTTTGAATGCCTCTTGTGTCACCTAACCTGCTCCAGCCTATTGATTCCTAAGCCAAGACACTGCTGTAACAACAACAAACAACAACAGCAACAATTTATTACTTATACTGCGACCATCTGGCCAGGCCTCCCCAGCCACTCTGGGCAGCTACCAACAAAATATTAAACACATAAAACATCAACATAAAAAGCTTTCCTAAACTGGGCTGCCTTCAGATGTCTTCTAAAAGTCAGGTAGTTGTTTATTTCTTAGACATCTTATGGGAGGGTGTTCCACAGGGTGGGCGCCACTACCAAGAAGGCCCTCTGCCTGTTTCCCTGTAACCTCACTTCTTGCAAGGAGGGAACCGCCAGAAGGCCCTTGGAGCTGGACCTCAGTGTCCAGACTGAATGATGGGGGTGGAGATGTTCCTTTGGGTATACTGGACCGAGGCCATTTAGGGGTCAGCACCAACACTTTGAATTGTGCCTGGAATCCTTTTTCCACAGCCCCTCCGAAAGCCGCGCAGTGACTTGTATGTTCTTCTTTACAGAAGCTCCAAGGGGAAAAGAACCCCAAGGGTTTAAATGAGACCATCCAGGAGCTGTTTGAGCTCATCCCTGGAGACGCGGACCAGCTCCTGGAGAGAAGCGGTTCGCGATGCAGGCGGTGTGCCGTGGTGGGGAACTCGGGTAACCTCAAGCAGTCGCAGTACGGCCAGGAGATCGACAACCATGACTTTGTGTTCAGGTGAGTCCCTGTTGCAAGGTTTAGCGATCTTAGCCTGACCGCTCTCTGCCACTGAAAGTAACAAAAAGAAAAGAAAGAAACCATTATCTTCACGGTGAGGCTTAAATAGGTGACGTCTGGAGCTGAGCCTCACCAAAGATCCCATTTACCAATTTTCAGCCCATTGCTGCTGCAGACTCGTGATTCGCATACACCTCCCCCTCACCTGATAATTCGATATTTGCAACCAAATGGGGGAACTGACTCCATAGGAAAAAGGCTGCACCTCAGCAGTAGAGCACCTGGTTTTTGTGCAGAACGCCACAACTTCAGTCCCCAGCATCTCCATGTAAGGCTGGGAGCAGTGGTGTAGCATGGGTTGCCAGAGCCACATGGAGGGACGTTTGAAACGGACAAAATATGGGTGCACATTCAACTGCCTCACGGCATCCACATCACCCAGGAGATTGCAGCCACCGAGATAAGAAAAGGAAAGTCATTCCGTTGTCCAGAGAGGTCGCTTCCTGGTCCGCATGGAGAAGCCGTTTCCAACGGAGCCCAGCGACGGAAGCTGTGTCCCCTGTGCCCCCCTCAAAAAAGCTACACCACTGGCTGGTGGGGAGAGAGAGACCAGTCTGAAATACTGAACAGCAGCTTCCGGGTCATGTGGCCAGCACGTCAAAGTGCAAGTAGATAAATAGGTACCGCTCCGGCGGGAAGGTAAACGGCGTTTCCATGCACTGCTCTGGTTTGCCAGAAGCGGCTTAGTCATGCTGGCCACATGACCCGGAAGCTGTATGCCGGTCCCCTCTGCCAATAAAGTGAGATGAGCGCCACAACCCCAGAGTCGTCCGCGACTGGACCTAATGGTCAGGGGTCCCTTTACCTTTTTTAAGGTGAGACCAGCCTATCTAGTCCATCTAGATATGCTTTCGAACTGCTAGAAATTGTGCTCCGGCGGCGGAGCAGCAGCAGGAGGCCCCATTAACTAAAGTGGTGCTTCAGGTTAAGAACAGTTCAGGTTAAGAACGGACCTCCGGAATGAATTAAGTACTTAACCCAAGGTACCACTGTAGTATTATCAGTAAAAAACCAAAAAAACCCCCCCAAAAACCCAGCTCTTTAAAACGTTCAAAAAAATAAAATTGGCAACAAACTAAAAACAGATTAAAACATACTTCAACCTTCTCCAGGTCTGGTTAGGCTCGACTAAAGGGAAAATGTTTTTAGCAGGCGCCAAAATTGAATACAGCAAAGGTTTCTCTGCCTGGTGTCAATAGGCAGGGAGTTCCAAAGTGTTGGTTCTGCCACACTAAAAGACTGATTTCTCATAAATATAGAACAGGTGTTATATGGAGCCTTTAACAGTCCCAGTTCCGCCGATTGAAGCAGTCGAGTGGGGTGGTATTATTAATTAATTAATTTTGTATACTGCCCTATATGCCGTATACTGTAATTTCTGTATACTGTATACAGGATTCAGGGCAGTTCACAACATCTTGCAGGTAAACTGGTCCCAGGTTGTTAATGGCTTTATATACTAACAGTAACACCTTGAACTTGACCTGGGAGCAGATCAGGAACCAGCACAGATCTCTGGGCAAGTGTTCTATACTGACAAGGTTTCGCTCCTGTCAGTAACTGTGTTTCAGCGTTTTGCACTAACCTCAGCTTCCTGGTCAAGCACAAGGGAAGCCCCACAAAGGGCACATTGCAGTAATCTAGCCAATGCATGAACTACCATGGTCAGTCTTTCCCAATCCAGGAATGGTTGCAGCTGTCGAACCAATTGCACTTCTGTGCTTGAGAGGAACCCTTCCTTAGCCAACAGAAGAATTTTCTGAAGTCCATTCAGGGTGCAGGGACTGGCCATGAGACTTACGAGGTGGGAAGGGGAGATATTTATTCTCCAGCCTGCAAATGCCCCCATCAATAGCGGCCGTTGCCATCTGTGGCAAGATGATGCCTACCTGCCCCATGTACCTCCTCCTGGCGTTGCCTGCTTTTTCCCTCACCCCTCTTCTCTTGGACCACGCAGAATGAACAAAGCCCCCACAGCCGGCTATGAGTCTGACGTCGGCAGCAAGACGACCCACCACTTTGTCTACCCTGAGAGCTACAAGGAACTGGGCGAGAACGTCAGCATGATAGTCATCCCGTTCAAGACCCTGGACCTTCGCTGGGTCATCAGCGCTCTCACCACAGGGACCATCAACCAGTAAGTGGCCATGTCTGCTCTGTTCTAGGAGGCCATGAGAAGTTGGGCGAGTTCTGCTGGACGAGATCTAGGAGTCTTTGTGGACCACTCACGTTGGGTCAACAATGCGATGCAGCAGCAAAAAAAGCAAATGCTGTTCTAGGCTGCACCAACAGAAGTATAGTATCTAGATCAAGGGACGTAATAGTGAGCCCACAACTTGATCCAGCAGATCTCTTCATATGATCTCACAGAATAGTAGAATCATAGAACTGTAGAGGGAAGCAAGAACTCTAGTCTAACCCTGTGCAATGCAGGAATCTCAACTAACTCATCCATGACAGATGGCCGTCCAACCTCTACTTACAAACCTCCAAGGAAAGCCCATCAACTGAGGGAGTCCATTCCACTGTCGAGCAGCTCTTACTTTCAGAAAGTTCTTCCCGATGTTTAGTCAGAATCCCCTTTCTTGTCACTTGAAGCCATTGGTTCGAGTCCTACCCTCCAGAGCAGGAGAAAATCAGCTTGCTTCATCCTTCATGCGACAGCCCTTGACATATTTGAAGATGGCTATTGTATCTCCTCTCAGTCTCCTGAGGTTTGGTTTCCAGACCCCATATATATATATATATATATGTTTTTTAACATATCATTTTCAACAGTAATTAAGCATACTTTTACATCTTATTCAATTTTTTAGACTTCCATCAATCCTGTCTGAAAATTTTCCAATCTAATCTCTTAGTATGCATTTCTTATTTTCCCTATTACAGTGGTACCTCTGGTTACGTACTTAATTCGTTCCAGAGGTCCGTTCTTAACCTGAAACTGTTCTTAACCTGAAGCACCACTTTAGCTAATGGGGCCTCCCGCTGCTGCCTTGTCACCGGAGCACGATTTCTGTTCTCATCCTGAAGCAAAGTTCTTAACCCGAGGTACTATTTCTGGGTTAGCGGTGTCTGTAACCTGAAGTGTATGTAACCTGAAGCATAAGTAACCCGAGGTACCACTGTACATTTCAAACTCATAACCAATATCTCTATCTTTTCCTACTTTGTAACACTTTGTATATTTCTCCTTATAAAACTTCTTGTAGTCCTACTAGCATAATTTGTTGATTACAGTTGCTCTTCAAATAATTCATATACTTCTTCCAGTCTTATGTAAATCTCTGGTCCCGCAGGTTTCGAATCCTTCCTGACATTTTGTCCAATTCTGCATAGTTCTTTAATACATTACACATAGTCCATTATACATTTTTTTAAAAAAAACCAGAAGCGTTCTTACTTGGTATTATAGGTCAGGACATTAATAGGCAAGATGTTAAATTGTTTTTATTTGCAACAACTGCGGCAATAGTACTGTTAGCCCAGAAATGGAAACAAGAAGAAATTATGACGAAAGAAGAATGGCAGACGAAATTAATGGACTATGGCTTCCAGACCCTTTATCCTCTTGCTTGCCCTCCTCTGCACATGTTCCAGCTTGTCAGCATCCTAAATTGTGGTGCTGATAACTGGACACAGGACTCCAGGTATGGTCTGACCAAGGCAGAATAAGAGTGAGACCATTACTTCCCTTGATCTGAACACTAGATTTCTGTCAATCCAGCCTAAAGTAGCATTAGCTGTTTTTGCTGCTGCATCACAACGTTGACTTACGTTAAGCTTGTGGTGAGAGATTCTTCCATTGTGATTCCTGCATTGCAGCAGGTTGGGCTAACCAACTCTTCAATTCTTCCCAACTCTACAATTCTATTATTCTATATCTGGCTGATGCAGGCTGTTGTTGTTTAGTATTTAGTCGTGTCCGACTCTTTGTGACCCCCTGGACCAGAGCACGCCAGGCACTTCTGTCTTCCTCTGCCCCCCCCGCAGTTTGGTCAAACTCATGTTAGTAGCTTCGAGAACACTGTCCAACCATCTCGACCTCTGTCGTCCCCTTCTCCTCAATCTTTCCCAACATCAGGGTCTTTTCCAGGGAGTCTTCTCTTCTCATGAGGTGGCCAAAGTATTGGAGCCTCAGCTTCACGATCTGTCCCTCCTGTGAACACTCAGGGCTGATTTCCTTCAGAATGGAGAGGTTTGATCTTCTTGCAGTCCATGGGACTCTCAAGAGTCTCCTCCACCACCATAATTCAAAAGCATCAATTCTTCAGCGATCAGCCTTCTTTATGGTCCAGCTCTCACTTCCATACATCACTACTGGGAAAACCATAGTGTTTACTATACGGACCTTTGTTGGCAAATGCAGGCTATTAGAAGGTGTTCAATCTCGCCCTCCAACACACCTGATATTTATTCTTACGTGCCTCCTTCCTGTTCCATTTATTTCATCTGGAAGTTGCCGCCGATCAGATCAGGCAGGTTCCTGAAGTTAGTTTCTGGATGATGGTTATTATTATAAGCCACGGCAGCCCACCGAGTTTCAGCCAGGAAATTAAAAACACGAGGAGCACACAATGTAGAGAGCAGGCCTCTGGCAAGCAGGAAGAAGATGGGCTTGTGATTAATGGACAGGGACTTTTTTTTATGAAGTGAGAGCACTTTTCCCCTGCAATGGGCCATAGAGAGCCAAAGTAGGCGCAGCTCAATTTTGAGCCTCAACTGAGACCGACGATATATGGGGGAAGCAAGCGGTCATGACCCCGTAGGAACCTGGCTGGCTGTTGGGAGAACAGAATGAATGCGGAATTGGACGAGCCTTTGGCCTCATCCAGCCATTGTTGTTGGCAGTAAGAACATTTATTTTTATTTATTGCATTTATATCTCACCTTTTTCTCCAAAGAGCTCAACATTGGCATACTGTGTGATCTTCCCCCCATCTCATTTAATCCCCACAACAACCCTGCGAGGCAGTGACTGGCCCAAGGTCACCCAGGGGGTGTCATACGTGAGTGGGGATTTGAGACCTGTCCCACTGAACATAAGGAGAGGCTGCTGGATCAGGCCAATGGCCCATCTAGTCCAGCATCCTGTTCTCACAGTGGCCAGCCAGATTCCTTTTGTCAGGTGTGCGAGCAGGAGCCAGGCCCTGTGACCAATAGGACTCTGCAGGACGGGCCTTCCTAAGTTTGTTCTGAAGAGGCAAGGCATGGCCGCACAGGTGAGGCCAGTTGGTAACTCACAGCACCTGGTGGCAAGAGCTGGGAAGCGATATAAAGTCAGCATTTCCCTTCGGCTCTTTGCCACAGAAACACGACCCTGCCTTGCTGCGTTTGGCTTCTTGCTTCCTGGTCCTTGAACCTCGGCTTCTTGACTCCTTGCTTCTTGATCCTTGGACCCTTGACTTCTTGACTCCCTGCTTCTTGATCCACGGACCCTTGACTCCTTGCTTCCTGACCTTCGGACCCTTGGCTTCCTGACTCCTGGCTTCTGGACTCCTGTTCCTGCTCCCACCCCGCCATCTTGCCCCCGGTCCTGATGTCCCCTGCCGGGACTTCGATCGCCCGTGAACCAGACCATGACAGCTGTGGAAAACCAGCAAGCAGGACCAGAAATGCAGCAGCAAAAAAAGCTAATGCTCTTCTGGAATCTCAGCTAAAGCATCCATGACAGATGGCCACCCAACCTCTGCTTAAAAACCTCCAAGGAAGGAGATTCCACCACCTCTCGTGGGGGTCTATTCCACTGTCAAACTGCCCTTAACTGTCAGAAAGCTTTTCTGTGTGTTTAGTTGGAATCTCCTTTCTTGTCACTTGAAGCCATTGGTTCACATCCTACCCTCCAGAGCAGGAGAAAACAAGCATGCTCCCTCTTCCACGTGACAGCCCTTGAGATATTTGAAGATGGATATCATAACTCCACTAACATGAGTTTGACCAAACTGCAGGAGGCAGTGGAAGACAGGAGTGCCTGGCGTGCTCTGGTCCATGGGGTCACGAAGAGTCGGACACGACTAAATGACTAAACAACAACAACAACAACAACAAATCATATCTCCTCTAAGTCTCCTCTTTTCCAGGTTGAACATACCCAGCTCCTTCAACTGTTCCTCATAAGGCTTGGTTTCTAGACCCTTGATCATCTTGGTCACCCTCCTCTGCACATGTTCCGGCTTGTCAACATCCTTCTTAAATTGTGACACCCAGAACTGGACACAGTACTGCAGGTGTGGTGTGACCAAGGAAGAATAGAATTCGCTCTATTCTTTCCCTTGATCTGGACACTAGACTTCTGTTAATACAGCCTAGAATACCATTCACCTTTTTTTTTTTTTGCTGTTGTTGACTCATGTTAAACATGTGGTCAGCCAAGACCCCTAGATCCTGTTCACATGTACCATTAGTAAGCCGTCCACAGCTTACTAGCCAGGATAAGAATAACGCACCAGATCCCCCTTGCAATGTAGATGTTCTCTCTCAATACACACAGATTTCATCATAGTAATGGTGCCTCCTTTTGCTAAACAGAACTAGGAAATGAGAGAGGAAAATCGTTAAATAGAAACGGATATGCAAAGTTGTGGTTTTGCATACTTGAGATACAATGTGCCGCGTGGCACTTCCTCTATTCCCCCCCCCTCTCTATTGTACCTTATTTATTTTTTGTGGGGGTGGAGGAGAAGGGGTCAGGGTTCCTTCCTTTGATCTCGCTGTCCGTGAAAAGCAAGCAGCAGGAAGCAAGGCAACGTGAATGTCTGCATGTAATGCGATGGAGCAAAGGCTAAAGACATTTAGGCAGCTTACAGTGTAACAGAATCAAAGCAAACTTCCTGGACAGGATAAGCACAAACCGAAGCGTTCATCAAAGGTTTCACGTTCCAGGGTTTTATTTGGGAATTGACAAAAGCCTCTGTTCTTATTAGCCGAGTTTAAGGGAATGGATTAGTCTCCCTTTGGTAAAGAAAGGGATTTTAGCAACGGCTTCATCCAAACCAGAATGCCACATATATGGCAGGGAATTCTTTTCTGTAAAAAAAATAAAAATAAATGTATGTGTCTTTAAAAAAGGGGAGGGGGTTTCACAGCAGCTGTTGACTTTTTCTGGGGATGAAAGAGCTTTTTCCTTGATCCACGGCAAACCTGAGTGTTCTGCCGTGGAGACAGGACAGACAGAACATTGGTTGGGGAAAGGGAGGGCATTCTGTTGACTGACAGCTGTGAGGAGTAGAGGGAGGGAGTGAACATTCCATGACATCACAGTAGCTTAGCCATTCAGGAACAGGGCATGTGGAGAGACATGGAGCTGCCAGTCTTTGCTCACCTAAGGTTTAATGCCCTTTCTGTGTTTAACTTTTGGCAAATTGACTATGGGCTGGAGGGAAATAAAACAGTTGAGCTAGCAGAAGTCCTGCTAGCACAAGTGGGGCTTTTTCGTATGTCCTGCACCCATGTGCCCCAGATCAGCTCTGGTGGGGCGAGGGGTCAAGAGGACCCCAGGACAGCACATGGGGGAGTAGGGTGTGCCATTTTAGGGAATTAAACTTAACTTTTGCAAATTTATTCAGTGAGGAGACTTAAAAATATGTGTGTTTTTTGGTGCGAGGAAATCAAATCTGCTATTATTTTTGTGATTGGACAACGTATAGCTTGGTAAGTCTACATTTGATGAAGAAGCACTGCTTTAGGAAAACCAAAGAATTTTAATTTTACCTTCTGAAAATGTCAGGTAGTGCTAAATAATAATAATAATAAATAAATACAATATTGATATATAATGTAACTACAGGTACTTGGCAAGCATTTTTAATGATTTCTGTGCCATTTTACAAACATTTTACTTACCAGGCCAAACTAAATCACATTAATTGAACCAAAATATCTTTCGAATTCCCAAGTCACACTTTTTAGCATCCCTCATTTTTTTGGAATTTGAAAGTTGACAAATTCAACACGCCCTGATGGGAGTTTGCTCCATCTTCCAAGCAGAAATGCACTGTGACAAAATAGCGATCTGAATTCCTCCCTATATTTTGCAAACCTACAACCTATATTTTGCAAACCTACATTTTAATTTAGTGTCTCTTTCATAAATGACATATATGCCAAGACTTTGGATTTAGAAGTAAGGGTGGATGTTTTACTTTTTATTATTATTATTTTTTACTGCATGCTGCACAGAGTGTACCTTGCTTTCACTGACTCACATAGATCTTTTCTTTGACAGCACATATATTCCAGTGCCACGCAAAATCAAAGTCAACAAAGGCAAGGTGAGTTATTGCTCTGATCTGGCCACAAAGTTCTTCCATACGTAAGCATGGGCTACATTCAGATGATCCTTCAAACCGTAGAATTGTAGAATTAGAAAGGACCAGCCCTTCAATGCAGGATTTTTTGCCCAGCATGAGACTCGAACCCACGACCTGAGATAAGACTCTCGTGTTCTACCAACTGAGCTGTCCAGCTGACTAACCATAGATGGAACTTCTCTAAGATTTGCAGTGCTCGCTTACAAAGTTAGTTCCATTTTGTGTACACTTGAAAATGTTGGCAGCATTAAGATAAATCCAGCAGTATAAATAAGTTTTGATGGATCCAAAAGTGGAATGCTGAAGGGTTTGGTTTATATAAAAAATGGAGGGATTTATGTTATGCAGAATGAACCATGGAAGGAGAGGAAGGGAAGTCATTGATATTTTAAGGATGTTTAAATGGACATTCTAAATTGTAACAACACAGCACAACACAACACAACACACAAAGTTAGTTCCATTTATGCATCACTTCCAGGGAAACACCTTGAAGCAACTGAGCAATAAAAGTATCAGCAGTAGGAAACTTATATAGAATAATTTCTTATATCAAAACGATTTCAAATCCAATATGGATACAAAGTGGGATTAAAAGCCCCGGTTTAAAGGCTTGTTAAAAAAGGAAGCTTTTCAACAGCAGTGGTGCTTATCTGATATGCAGCGGGAAGAAATTCCACAGGACAGATGCCATCCCACCAAAGGTCCGATTTCAACAACAGAAGGAAGAAGGGAACAGATGGTATCTGCAGTAATCAGTAGGGTGTACAAGGGCTCAGACAATCTTTTAGGTATCTTGTACCCAAAAGCACACAGAAAATGTGTGTTTTAGGATAAAGTTGATCTGGAAGTGTGTCGCTGGCATCCATCTGTCTTGAGAGGCAATGGAGTGCACCTCCAGGGGTGAAGCTCACACTGCTGCGTTAGCACACTATTGGTCACGTCCTCTGTATCCACTGAAGCCTATCTTCACATGCAGGGGAAGTCCCTAACTCACTGAGGGTTTGAGACCCATCAGGTACACTTGCCTGGTTTAGCCGGCCAGTCAAGTCCATTACCAGGGGTCTGTACATTGAGATAAAATACATATTTTGCAATACAGTGGTACCTTGAGTTAAGAACTTAATTCGTTCTGGAGGTTCGTTCTTAACCTGAAACTGTTCTTAACCTGAGCCATCACTTTAGCTAATGGGGCCTCCCACTGCTGCCGTGCCGCCACCGCAAGATTTCTGTTCTCATCCTGAAGCAGAGTTCTTAACCCAAGGTACTATTTCTGGGTTAGCGGAGTCTGTAACCTGAAGCGTCTGTAACCTGAAGCATATGTAACCTGAAGTACCACTGTAGCATGTTTAGTTGCCTTATACTGAGTCGAGACTATTGGCCCATATAGCTCAGTATTGTCTACACTGACTGGCAGCTGCTCTCCGTGTTTTTGTTTTTTCTTTTCTTAAAAGGGACATTCCCAGCTCTACGTAGGGATGCTTAGAATTGAACTCGGGGCATTCTTTGAACAAAGCAGATGCTGTACCACTGAGCCACAGCCCCAGTACCTACTTTGCAATGAAACATTTAACAAAACGCATTTTATAGGAAGATTTTTGTACAGGATTTTATTTTTTTACTCTCTCAGGTGACTGTAGAAATGTGGTGAAATTGATTTATGAATGAACACATGTAAAAGGGGGGGGGACAGAACAAAAATTTACAGATCCCTCCACCCTTACTACAAACCCCATATCATGGGGGGGGGGGGGGATGAGCCAAAGTTTCAAAGGCGGCTTGCAAAGTGATGCTGTTCAAAATTCCCACCCTGTAACCGTAAGAATAAGCAGGAACCAAGCTAGCAGTTCAGTGGCGTGGCTGCATCTCCACTTACTGGTGGTGATGGGAACTGCACACCTAGCATTTCCTTGAACTGTTCATTTATTGCTGAGCTTTCCAAACTGTGTGTCGCGACACGTTAGTGTGTAGGTGTGTCACACGAACGCTCCTGGAATGGGGTCAGTTGAACCTTCGGTTTGCTAGTAAAACTGAATTACTGTGTCGCGAAATGATGCATGTCTAAAAAGTGTGTCCCCCAACATGAAAAGTTTGGAAAGCTCTGGTTTACAGTGGTACCTCGGGTTAAGTACTTAATTCATTCCGGAGGTCCGTTCTTAACCTGAAACTGTTCTTAACCTGAAGCACCACTTTAGCTAATGGGGCCTCCTGCTGCTGCTGCGCCTCCGCATGATTTCTGTTCTCATCCTGAAGCAAAGTTCTTAACCCGAGGTACTATTTCTGGGTTAGCGGAGTCTGTAACCTGAAGCGTATGTAACCTGAAGCATATGTAACCCGAGGTACCACTGTATTGCCTGGGGCTGATAGGAGTTTGAGGCAGAGTCCAATCGCATTCGAAGGACCACAAGGGCCACTCATGTTCTAAAGGTTCTGACCCATCCTGGTTTTTACATGATAAGGCAGGTGAATAAATGCATAAATTCTGATTTTGAAACCCCACCTTTTACTGCAAATTTGCACTTGAAGTCAGCGACTTCTAACCTTGTCCAATTTCATATCTCGTCTTAGCGACCTTTTTTGCATCCGTGTTGTATCTGCAACCAAACTAACAAGGCCTGTTGATTCATTCTGTGCAGATCCTGATTTATCACCCCTTCTTCATAAAATACGTTTATGATACCTGGCTGCATCATCATGGGAGATACCCCTCAACAGGCTTCCTGTCAGTTATATTTGCTCTTCACATCTGCGATGAGGTACGTGCAATGCTAGGGCTCGGTGTAGACATCATGGGAAACTGTGGTTTGCGACTATGCCCTCTCAAGAGGGAGAACAAAAGCTTCCACTTTTTAACCAAGCCCAGATCCCTGGAGTGCTTGTGAGCATTGCAGACATCATAGAACCACCGCTTCCAATTCATGAGAAGTAATAGTGCCACTTTATTCAGCACATAATTCACATTCTCAATGAGATGTGAATATGGGCTAATTCTCCAAGTTCAGATGTAACCAAGTTCAGATAACCAAACAAAAATGAAAGCTTCTAGCCTCTTCCTCACAGAACAGATGGGAGTGAACAAGGCTCACGCAGTTCATTTAAACAAACCACAGTTGCCGGATTCAGGAACTGTGGTTAGATTTAAATCAAAAGCAGAGGCTTTCAAACTCCTCCTTTGGCATGGAAAAGAAAATGAGAGAGAAGAGGGACCAAATAGTAAACTACCGGAGCAGACCTGTTCCTCACAACCCCTGCGGTGAGGGAAAAAATTGATGCTGAATGTCAGTTCTGGGTTATTCAGGTACACGGGGATGCAGGTGGCGCTGTGGTGTAAACCACTGAGCCTCTTGGGCTTGCCAATCAGAAGGTTGGCGGTTCGAATCCCTTCGACGGGGTGAGCTCCCATTGCTCTGTCGCAGCTCCTGCCAACCCATCAGTTTGAAAGCATGTCAGTGCAAGTAGATAAATAGGTACTGCTGTGGCGGGAAGGTAAATGGCATTTCTATGTGCTCTGGTTTCCATCACGGTGTCCCGTTGCACCAGAAGCGGTTTAGTCATGCTGGCCACATGACTCGGAAAGCTGTCTGTGGACAAACGCTGGCTCCCTCGGCCTGAAAGCGAGATGAGTGCCACAACCCCTTAATTGCCTTTGACTGGACTTAACCATCCAGGGGTCCTTTAACTTGTTCAGGCACAGTGGTACCTCGGGTTAAGAACTTAATTTGTTCTGGAGGTCCGTTCTTAACCTGAAACTGTTCTGAACCTGAGGTACCACTTTAGCTGCCGCCATGCAATTTCTGTTCTCATCCTGAAGCAAAGTTCTTAACCCGAGGTACTATTTCTGGGTTAGCGGAGTCTGTAACCTGAAGTGTCTGTAACCCGAGGTACCACTGTACATGACTTAAACCAGATTCATTCATTCTTCTCCCACATGCACAATTTCTATCGTGTGGCAGGGAGATTGGAGATATATTGGGAAGGTGAACCTCTGCAGTAGGGCTCCTTCTCTGCTTAGGGAAGGTGATGAAGCTGGGGATGGGAAAGAGATAGAAGGGCCAGGAATCTCGTTCCTGCTCTCCCCTCATCACATGAGCTTGCAGAGGACTTCCGTCCATGGAAATGGGGAAAGAGATTGAATACTACATGAGATACACGTTGTCACCAATTTGGATGGCTTTAAAAGAGGACAAATTTGTGGAGGACAGAGCTACCAATACCTCTGAAAACTAGTTTCTGGGAAGTGGTGAGGGGCTCCTGTGCTCAGTTCGGCTTGCGAGCTTCCCTTAGTCTCATCTGGTTGACCACTTTGAGAACAGGATGCTGGACTTAGATGAGCCTCTAGCCTGATAATAATAATAATAATTTATTATTTGTACCCCACTCATCTGGCTGGGTTTCCCTAGCCACTCTGGGCGGCTTCCAACAAAGATTAAAAATACAGTGGTACCTCGGGTTACATACGTTTCAGGTTACAGACTCCGCTAACCCAAAAATAGTTAAGAACTTTGCTTCAGGATGAGAACAGAAATTGTGCTCTGGCGGCACAGTGGCAGCAAGAGGCCCCATTAGCTAAAGTGCTGCTTCAGGTTAAGAACAGTTTCAGGTTAAGTACAGACCTCTGGAATGAATTAAGTACCTAACCCAAGGTACCACTGTACATTAAAATGTCACACATTAAAAACTTCCCTGAACAGGGCTGCCTTCAGATGTCTTCTAAATGTCAGGTAGTTGTTTATCTCTTTGACATCTGGTGGGAGGGTGTTCCACAGGGCGGGCACCACCACCAAGAAGGCCCTCTGCCTGGGTCCCTGTAACTTGGCTTCTCGCAGTGAGGGAACCGCCAGAAGGCCCTTGGCGCTGGACCTCAGCGTCCGGGCAGAATGATGGGGGTGGAAACGTTCCAAGAGCACTTGCTACGTTGAAGGCCGAGACTTCTTTAGAGTTCTTTTCTCTTTTTCCTTGCAGGTGGACCTTTACGGCTTCGGAGCCGACAGCAAAGGGAACTGGCACCACTATTGGGAAAACAACCCATCAGCTGGGGCTTTCCGCCAGACGGGCGTCCACGACGGGGATTTTGAATCCAACGTAACGTTGACTCTTGCCTCGGTCGACAAAGTACGCTTTTTCAAGGGCAGATGACCCCGGTCACGGGGAGCGCTGTGATTTCTGACTTACGGGGAATACAGAGACTTTTGCCGAAACAAAAGGGGTCTCGGAGTTGACTGTATCTCACGCCTTAGCCGAAAAAGCCAGGAACGACCGCCGGGTTGCAGATTGCAAGCGGCATTGCTGGGTTCCCGAGATTTCTTTACCAACGTTTGAAGGATGTGGGAGGATTCCTCTTCCTGCTTCGTCACTCTCCCTTTCGTGAGACATTTCCGCTCTGTAAATCTTGCCTTGTGCAAGTTAAAGGAAGCAAAAGTTAGATCCCGACCCCTAACCCCCTTTCGTCTTTCTGAGAACGCATACCTTGAGCTTTCATTTTCTCTGGGACCGAAAACACAGCGAAAGAGATGCTGGATTTCATTCCTGACAACAGTGGATGTGAAACACCCTCTCCGTTCACAAATTACCTCAAAAAGGAGCTAATTCTGTTTTTCATCTTCTCCCAGGAGCAGCGTCCTTGCAAGACCTCCGAGCTCCCATACTGCATTATGATCAAGTGTGCATTTGTCACCAGCCGGCAAAAATTGGCACCAGCTTTAGCTGAGATTCCTGCATTGCAGGGGGTTGGACTAGATGGCCCTTGTGGGTCCCTTTCAACTCTAAAATATTATGATTCCATTATTCCATTTGCCAAGAGCTGGGAATTTTGAATGAAACACTTTCCAGTTATTACTGTGGATTCCCCCCCCCCCCCCGTGTGAAATGTATTTGCTCTTCTTCATAGCCATAATTAAGGAGGGAAAAGATTGGGGGGGGGGTTGAAAATGAAGATATAAGAAGCTGGAGTAAACTAGTCACTATTGTTTACCTTTTAAAAATGTCTTTCTCGCCGCTTCTGAGCTTTCGACTCTGCTACCAATCAGAGAAATGAAGTTATTTTTATATCTCTATAAATTTTTGTCATTGACATGTGCCTTTCTGAAATATCAAGAATATAAAAGGGAGAGTCGTTTTGTCTTGTTTGGCTCTCACCGATACTGAAATCCCTCGATTAAACCTTTTTTACATATATATATATATATATATATATATATAGGGAAAAACCTGACCAAAGTTCAACGCTACTTACCGTCATCGTTTTTTTTATCGACAGCTTTCTTCAGTCTACTTGAAAGGTTCGCGAGCAACAGTCAGGTTTCAGTTTTGTTTTTGAGAGAGAGAAACGTTTTTGCCTTATTTTAAAAGAATGTGGGTTTTTTTATTTAAAAAAGAAGATTTTTTTTGGCTTCTATTTTTTACTGCTGTGGTAGGTGGCTCCTGTGTGAAATTGTCCTGAAGTGGAAGGAAATTGTCTCCACCTCAGGAGGATATTGTTCAAGGGCTACATCGGAGGAGTGAGCAGAATCAAGATGTGAGATCCATGGCCGGGGAATGGGATTACTTGGGAGTCAGTCCCCAGCAAACTCCATACAGCTCACTTCTGCGCAGGCAAGCCTAGGATCGCACCGTCAGGGACCTTATAAAGAATGAAAAGAGGAAGGGATGATCTCCACAGTTGACAAGGACCTTAAGCAAAGGTGACGGGAAGAGATTGGGCTGGAACTTTGTAGAAAGCATCCTCTTCCGGAGAATGAAGAGAGGGGAAGCCGTCCTTAACAAAGCATTTGCCACAGGAACTAATTGTGAGATTGTTAGGAAGACGGCCATGTGGCGGTTTCAAGAAAATGGTGATGAGCAGATCCACGTTAAAGTCGCCTCGTGGTGCTGGTCGTGGGACCTTTTGAGGGGACATTAGCGGGGGCGGGGGGCACAGTGATTCTTCACCTCCATTTGTCCTGAAAATCCAGGCGGTTATGCTACCTTCTTATTTCCTTTTTAAAGAAATAAAAATAGTGCGTATCTATTTTAATTGTCGCTATAAAAAGCAGAGAGAAACCCTTTCTGAAAAACTCTCCAAAAGATCTCGTGCGAGGCTTTTTAGTTCTCACGGGCAACCGACATCTGAGGATAAACACAATCATTATTTTTAAATAAATAAAAATGCATAAACCAGCTGTATTTCAGCAGGAAGGGGACGACGTGGGGATCAGGATGGTTGCTTTTTCCTCAAAACAAGAGCGGCCAGATTTAAGGACGCCTTTTGAAAACTTGCCATTTGACCCTTAGCCCCAGTGGGTTGCCGTCGTTAATTTCGCGGCGCAGGTGTAGTTCGAAACCTGTTCGAAACGGGTGCCGCAGCAAGGATATTATTGTCTGCCCCAGAATCGTTTTGATTCCCTGGTAGGGTTGCCAGTTCCTTTGGCCCGCCTCTGCGCCTGTGCCTTTCACAGCAACATGATCCGCAAGCGGTTATCTCCACATTGTGGGAATCATCGCCTGCTGATCAGGGTCGCTGCTCAAAATGCACAAGAGCAGGCCAGACTGCCCCAATTAATTGGCAACCCACAGACTGGAAATAATGTTGTTTTTTCAACATCGTACTCTGAGCTTATAGGGTCGGAACAACATCTGAATAAATCAATTTGTAGTTAGCACCCAAGGAGGACTGAGCACAGAGGCACTTGATATTCATGTGAAAGATTCTAGTTTCAGTCCCTGACGTCCCGTCCCACCCCCCCTTTAAAAGGAACTCTGGTTCATCATTGCATGAGATCTGGAAAAACCTCCTTCCCTGCGAGGACAGAAAGAACTGAGACACATGGCTTGGCTTTGGGTGGTGCACTTACCCTGAGCACAATCTGGGACTGGGTCAGAATTGTGAAATTGGCTTAATTTATTCCGGGTGGTGCTGTGGGTTAAACCACAGAGCCTAGGACTTGCCGATCAGAAGGTCAGCGGTTCGAATCCCCACAACGGGGTGAGCTCCTGTTGCTCTTTCCCTTCTCCTGCCAACCTAGCAGTTCGAAAGCACGTCAAAGTGCAAGTAGATAAATAGGTACCGCTCCGGCGGGAAGGTAAACGGCGTTTCCATGCGCTGCTCTGGTTTGCCAGAAGTGGCTTAGTCATGCTGGCCACATGACACGGAAGTTGTACTCCAGCTCCCTCGGCCAATAAAGCGAAATGAGCGCCGCAACCCCAGAGTCGGTCACGACTACACCTAATGGTCAGGGGTCCTTTACCTTTACCTTATTCCTTGTTCCAGTATTTTGAGGGGTTTTTTTTAATCAGTATGTGAATATATGTATTGCGTTTCTTTAAAAAAGAAAGATAAAAAGTTCTAGGTTGGTAGGGAGAATGAAAATATATGGAAGGCAGTAATGAAGGAAGGATAGAAAGTGGAAGTTCGTAGGAAGGAGGAGATCTCCTTTGAGCAGACAGATGTCCCGATCACAGAACGTCCCTGTAAATATCCGAGCAGGCAGAAACTGTTATGGGTTTTCTCACTTAGCCATGAGGGCTGCAGGTTGTGTGTTTGTATGTGTCAGCAACCCCTGCTCTCTAGACGGGCAGAGACTGCACTGTCCTCACTCAGTCTCAGTGAGAGGTCAGATTGATGCCTTTGTTTCCCACAAGCCAAGGAGATGTCCAACTGGGAAAGCTTTCCCTAAGCTCCCAAATGTTGTGATGAGAAGCAGCTTCCCCGGTTGGATTTCTGCCTGTCCTGGCACAAGAATCCCTGCCGGAAAGCGGAGACAAACTGCCACCCTTAGCCCAATCAAACTATTCACCAGCCCACCTCAGCAGAGCTTGGAGCGTAAGAACATAAAGAAAACGTTCTCAAACAGCTGCTTATTTGGCTATCCTCCATAATGTTTTCTTCTTCTTCCGGAACCTGTGGTATTGGTTTTTTTTTAAGGAAAGAAATCACTCTTAAGAAACTTGTTGACTTATCGTTTTTAAATCAAGGTGTGTTTGTTGGGTGGGTGTAATTTCTCGCCCTTCTCCCTTCCCTATTGGGTCGTGTTGCTGCTTTTTGCAGAATTCTCTTCTGCATTCTGCTTATACTTCTGGCGTCTGATTTGGCAAGGCTGCAAGTTCCCAAGCAGCTCAGGCGCACGTACCCAAAAATCCCTTGCTTCAATATTTGAGCCTTTAAAAAGCAGGCAGGGCTTTGGGCATTGTTTGGGAAATGGGCTCCCAGCAAGCAGGTCCAGTGGTCACAGACCAGCCCTGCTTTAATGGGTGAGATTCTATGTCCAGTAGCTTTCGTAAGCATTCAGAAAGTGCATGTTCTCCCCTTGGCTGAGAAGAAGGAGACTGTGTCTCTGTTTACCTCTAGGCGGCAAAGCCAGCATTTCTCACTTTTCTGATACCAGGTGATCAGTGATTTATTGATTAAAAATGGAAGCTAATATGACAGTCAAAATGACAAGGGTTTTCTCATTTTCCAGCAAAACTCTAGTAACCAGTAACACTCTATAGCTGTCTTCCTGCTATGATCGCAGCGAGGGTTACCAACTTTATATATATATATATATACACACACACCTACTTGTGCTCTTGTGCCTTTAACAACAACTTGAACTGGAGGCAATGGGCAGATGTGCTGAACTCAATTGCCTAATTTAAATCCATTTCAACAGGGTCTGCCTGAGTTGTTGGCTGCAACTTTCCATTCTGCACAGAAGCTTTTACCCACCAATTATTTTGAAGGTGGAGCGGGTGTTAAAGGCGGAGGAGCAGGCCTAGATAGGTTTCCTGATCAGTTGGTGACCTTAATCACAGAAATGTTGGTGGGGGCAAGGGTCAGGTGCCAGACCCTGCAAGCTCCCCTTTTGAGGAAAGAACTGTAGCTCAAAAGTAGAGCTTTGCATACAGAAATACCTGGTTCAATTACTGGTGTTGCCCAATAGCGCTGAAGTGTCCCTGCTAAATTATCTTTTTAAAGTATTTATTTGTAGGTGTGGGTGTTTTGAGCAAAGCCAAATTTCTTTGACACTTGTCTCCAGGGTTGTCGTCAAAGTCTTCTTTCTATCTATCTTTCTTTCTTATACTACTCTTTATATGATCACTTTTCTCTCTCCAAATGAAGGATCACTTTGTTTTATTTGGCGACATCTTATTTATTGTTGACATTTTCAGTACGATGCAAATGACTTCAAATAAATTTTTGTATTGTAATCACCCGTCCCTCTCGAAGGCCTCTTTATTAGACTCTGCGTCTGATTAAATAAATTGTGCTCGGTGGCCGCAGGAGCTTGCGGTCAGTTAATTGGTTAAATTGTTCATTGAGTGTGTGGCAGCTGTGAAGAATCAGATTCCGTGCTATGGGTTGTTAGGAAAGGAACTGAAAATAACACTGCCAATATAGTGATGCTGTTATACAAATCTACGGTACGACTGTATTTGGGGATTGGTAGGGCGATGAAAAGGGGTTAGTGAGCTGGGGGTGTATGTGGCAGAGAGAAATCAGAAGCAGGCTGGAGAGGAGGGGGTGTCAAGAGGTGTCCCATCCTGCAACCAGTTCCCCTCCCTGCTGGTCTCCCAGGACCAGTAGCGGTCTGAAGAGCAAGGAGCAGAAACAGACAAGACTACAAAGTCTCAGATTGCTTGAGAAGGACCCAGGGAAGTAGGAGACTTAGAGAACAGGGGCAAGATCCACCAGGACAAAATGCTGTGCCTTCCAGAGCCATCCCTGTTTCCTTGAATAAAAAGTTGCCTTCACTGGCGCTGTGTGATTTATTACTAACCTGCTCCTCACAGTTCTATATAGTCTTAAATGTGCCAGACATTTGCAGATACAGATGGCACAAAGTGACTATGTGCCTCAATACCTGTGAAAGAAATAAAATCATGCCATATGTTGTTTTTTAAACTGATTTCTCCCTCTCACATACGCAAGGGGAGAGAGAGGAAAGAAACAATACTTGTATCATACACCTCCTCTGAATGGTACAGTTGTATTATCATGGTTGGGATAGGCCTAATCTCCTTGGAGTTTGTCTAATCTTTGCTTAAAGGAGTCTAAACTGGCTTGGAAGAAAATTCCATAAACTAGGAACACATCTTTCTGATTTAAATACATATATACTGCGCTTTCAATTAATAACAGTACACCAAGGCAGTGTGGCACACAATGCAACAGAAACCTGGGTTAAAAACGGCAATAGCATATCCATAAAGGTGGTGTTTTTAAAAAATTAAAAATAAAAGCAAATTAAAGAGAAGGCACCATGTGGTAAACACACGTGTGCGTGTGTGTGTGTGGACACGGGTGGCGCTGTGGTCTAAACCACCGAGCCTTGGGCTTGCCGATCAGAAGGTCAGCGGTTCAAATCCCCGTGACGGGGTGCGCTCCCGTTGCTCTGTCCCAGCTCCTGCCAACCTAGCAGTTCGAAAGCATGCCAGTGCAAGTAGATAAATAGGTACTGCTGCGGCGGGACGGTAAACAGTGTTTCCGTGCACTCTGGTTTCCATCACTGTGTCCCGTTGCACCAGAAGCGGTTTAGTCCTGCTGGCCACATGACCTGGATAGCTAGCTGTGGACAAACACCGGCTCCCTTGGCCTGAAAGAAAGATGAGCGCCGCAACCCCAGCCTTTGACTGGACTCAACCGTCCAGGGGTCCTTTACCTTTACATATATACGTGTGTGTGTGTGTGTGTGTGTGTGTGTGTGTGTGTCACACACACACCACGTAGGTACAATAAAAATTGGCTGAGTATGATTTTAAGCATAGGATAAAATGAAGCCCATTACTGTTTTGGGTGAGATGAATATTAAAATAATATTGTTTCTTATTGAATTAACCAAATCCTCGATAGTGGCGCCCGCCCTGTGGAACGCCCTCCCATCAGATGTCAAAGAGATAAACAACTACCTAACATTTAGAAGACATCTGAAGGCAGCCCTGTTCAGGGAAGTTTTTAATGTGTGACATTTTAATGTATTTTTAATCTTTGTTTGAAGCCGCCCAGAGTGGCTGGAGAAACCCATCCACATGGGCGGGGTACAAATAAATTATTATTATTATTATTATTATTATTATTATTGATAAGGCAGAGGGAGAGGACAAACCGAGTTTTTCCTTATTGACGTCTATTGATTCTGGCTTGAGTGCCGGCCTGGGGAAAAGGCAGGATAGAAATAGATATAATGATGTACTAAAATCAAACTGGTTTGTAAAAACACACTTTCCAAAGGCCTTTCTGAACTGTACAGTTCTGTTTTTAAAAAAGGCGGGTGACTCCTACCCGACAGCTGTTGGCACCAAGAATCATCAGTTTCTTGCTTTGTATGCCAAGTTCCCAAATTCAATCCCCGGCTTCTCTAGGTAGGGCTGGAAACATCCCCTGCCTCAAATCCTGAAGGAGCTGCTGTCAGTGCAGATAATAAATGAACAGTATGACTCCATATAAAGCAGCGAACTATATTCCTATGTTCAAAACGCAGAGCATGTTACAGTAACTGTGACTTCATAGAGTGATAGAATGAGAAGGAACTATGAGGGTCATCTTGTCCAACCCACTGGAATGCAGGATTCTGCACACGCCGTCACCCATCCAATTTGAAACCATACTGGACCCTGCTTAGCTTTGCAAAGGTGCTTGCAGTTTTATTGCTGCAAACTCCTGGCCTCAGTTTTGCCAAGGTTCACAGCTGTTGGCTGAGTTCTGCTTCCCCTTCCTGCACACAAAGAAACCCCCGCTCAGCATATGGTCAGATCAAGGAGCCAGCTAGGATCAGTTGATAACCACCTTAATGGCTTGCAATTAATTAAGCAAACAGCTAACCGTGACAGTTGTTTTAGGAATGTCGATCCGGTCCAATGGAGAAGTGAGGAGGAAACCCAAAGCAGCTCAACGAGGGCTGAGCATGTTCAAAGGACATGGAATTCTGCCTGGTATTTATTTAAGGAATATATATATATTTATTTAAGGAATTCAACCAACTTGAGGAACTTGGTCAAGTGATACCAGCTTTCTGAAGTCTGAGAATCATTTGCACCCACAGCTGCCCCATGCATCTTACTCCCCCCCCCCATAAATCCATTTTACCCCCAGGGGGCAGTACTGTCCACCCTATAAACGAAAGCTAGTTGTCATATTTTGCTGTGTCCACTAGAGTGCGCTGTGCTCCTTTGATCACGGCTGACTCCTGCCTTGAAAGAAAAGCTGCAAAATTGATTGATGGGTTGATTGATTTGTTATGGAAGGGCATTCGCCCATTGGAATCCTCTTCCGCCTCACACACACACTACATTTCTGAAGTGGAGACCCAGGATTTTCACCTGCTTCACTGTTTGTGAGAACAAAACCTAGGATACACCAAACGATTTAACCAATTGCAATCTATTTCTGTCGGAGTTATTGAAAGGAACCCAATTCCCACCCCCTTCCTCACCCTCGCCACCGCTGTCCAACACACACACCCTCAAAAAAAAGTTTATGATCTGAAACATGTTCAGAAACGAGAATGGGGATCTTTCCTTTTCAACCAGAGCTTTGCAAAGAAGACTTCAGGTCACATTGGTGCCGTGCGGTATGATAGCACTTCAAACACCCAAAGAATTCTAGGGGCTGCAGCTTGTTTAGAGTGCTGCGAGATGTTAGGAAAGGCCTATTCCCCTTACAGAACTACAGTTCCTAGAGTCTCCCCAGTGAAGATGGATGGACTGATAAACCTCTAAAAGGTAAAGGGACTCCTGACCATTAGGTCCAGTTGCGGATGACTCTGGGGTTGCGGAGCTCATCTCGCTTTAATGGCCGAGGGATGTGGCATACAGCTTCCGGGTCATGCGGGCAGCATGACTAAACCGCTTCTGGTGAACCAGAGCAGTGCACAGAAATGCCGTTTACCTTCCCGCCTGAGTGGTACCTATTTATCTACTTGCACTTTGACGTGCTTTCGAACTGCTAGGTTGGCAGGAGCAGGGACCAAGCAACGGGAGCTCACCCCGTCACGGGGATTTGAACCGCCAACCTTCTGATCGGCAAGCCCTAGGCTCTGTGGTTTAACCCACAGCACCACCTGTGTCCCGATAAACTTCTAGGGGTCTCCTAATGCCTCTTAGCACTCATAGTAGATGTCAAGGCAATAAGCAACTACCTTACTTTTAAAAGACATCTGAAGGCAGCGCTGTTTAGGGAAGTTTTTAATGTTTAGTGCTGTATTGTGTTTTTAATATTCAGTTGGGAGCCGCCCAAAGTGGCTGGGGAAACAGAGCCAGATAGGCGGGGTATAAATAAGTTGTTGTTGTTGTTGTTGTTTGGCCTTTCCTCATCCCAGGGCAGAGCTCTGGTCTCCCAAACTGCTCAGTGCTGGGATCGGCTGGGAAGCTGTTGACCTCTCCTTCTGTAGTGGTCTTTGAGTAGAGGCCAAACAGCCACCTGTCAGGAATGCTTAAACAGCAAATTTCCTGCTTTGGTTGGGGAAAATCTTTTGGTTAATCTCTTGAGTGAGGAACATTTGTATCTGTTTGCACAACAAGACGAGCATCGCCGTACATCTAGATGTCCGGCTCATGAGAGGAACTGAATCGCTTCTTTCCGACACACCTGCAACAACAGGATGGATTCCAGGACATGCAAATATTTTCCCCTCTCTTCTTTTTCCTGTTTTTGCCTTGATGTCACCGACAATGATGCCAATTAATCATAGGACCTTATTGTAACAGAAGTCCGAGAAGGTCATCCAGGGGAGAAAAATGAGGCAGGGTATAAGCGAGTCTTTGCGTTCAAATCAATCTTGCCTGCTCATCCGCCAATTATATCAACCAACTTGCATGACGATGATCATGATAATAAGCATTTATAGAACACTTTAAAAGTGTTTGAAGTAGTCCATATACATTTTCTCAGGAACCCTTTTCATTTATTGTTCATTTAAAGCTGGGAACCAGGCAAGGGGCTTTCTCAGGAGTGGTACCCACCCTTTGAATTTCCTCATATTAAGAGATCCTATACTGATATTTGTTGGAACTCAAATTCTGCCAATAATTCCTCCTTTGCCTCTCTTGACAATTTCATTTTCCAGATGGTGGAAGAAACAAGAAGGGGATCGTCTAACTCAGACTTGCTCCTCACCAACAGGGAAGTACTGATCGATGAAGTGGAAGTTCTTGAAAACTTGGGAAGTATTGATTGTGTCCTCCTGCATTTCACAATACAGAGGCAAGGGAAAGCTGAGTGTTGGTGCTGACCTTTAAAGCCCTAAACAGCCTCGGTCCTGTATACCTGAAGGAGCGTCTCCACCCCATCATTCGGCCCAGACACTGAGGTCCAACACTGAAAGCCTTCTGGCGGTTCCCTCGCTGCGAGAAATGAGGTTACAGGGAAGCAGGCAGAGGGCCTTCTCGGTAGTGGTGCCTGCCCTGTGGAACGCCCTCCCAGCAGATGTCAAGGAAATAAACAACTATTTTACTTTTAAAAGACAACTGAAGGCGGCCCTGTTTAGGGAAGTTTTTAATGTCTGATGCTGTATTGTTTTTAATATTCAGTTGGAAGCCGCCTAGAGTGGCTGGGGAAACCCAGCCAGATGGGTGGGGTATAAATAAATTACTATTATCCAAAGGTGAGATCCCAAGGTTGGAAATACTCAAAGAGAAGGGAGTCGCAGATGGGTGAGAGTTTCTTAAGGGTGAACTATTGAAGGCCCAAATGCAGACAGTTCCAACAAGGAAGAAAAGTGGGAGGCCTCTAAGGAAACTGGTGTGGCTGCACAAGGAACTTACAGAAGAGCTGAGAGTTAAGAAGGGCATGTATAAGAAATGGAAGAAAGGGGGAGTCACAAAGGAGGAGTACACACCAGTAAAGGACCCCATGACGGTTAAGTCCAGTCAAAGGCAACTATGGGGTAGCAGCGCTCATCTCACTTTCAGGCCAAGGGAGCCAGTGTTTGTCCACAGACAGCTTTCCAGGTCATGTGGCCAGCAGGACTAAACTGCTTCTGGCGCAACAGGACACTGTGACAGAAACCAGAGCACATGGAAACACTGTTTACCTTCCTGCCACAGCAGTACCTATTTATCTACTTCCGCTGGTGTGCTTTCAAACTGCTAGGTTGGCAGGAGCTGGGACCGAGCAATGTGAGCTCACCCTGTCGTGGGGATTCGAACTGCCAACCACCTGACTGGCAAGCCCAAGAAGCTGAGTGGTTTAGACCACAGCGCCACCCGCTCCCGACAGGAGCCAACAGTTGCTTGCTGAAGTTCAGGCAGGGTAAATCTCAGACTTGCAAGGGGGTCCATTCCAACTCGACAGTTCTATGATGTGAGCTCTGCCCATCCCGTACCAGAAGGGTGGATGAACTGGCAGCTGTTCTTGGGGCAGATTTCTCGCCACGTGTCTGCCTTTTACCATTCCACTGTATCAGGGTTGGGGAACCCCAGGTTCTCCAGATGTTCCTGGACTCCCTGTTCCATTATCCCTGGCCGTTGGCCATACTGGCAGCAATGGATGGGAGCTGAAGCCCAGGAAGGACTGGGAGAGCTACAGGTCTTTCATCCCTGCTCAAAATATGCTGCCCAACCTTCAGCTCTGCGGTAGCAAATATTAGCCACTGCGAATTTTTGCCCATGGAGGGCAGTGGCGCTGTTCACTTCAATAAGCTACAGTGCTACACCCTCTGAAGAATCTATGAAACATAACTTTGTCTTGTAAACTTTTGAACCCTTTTGGCACAGCCTGATGTTTTGGTCTCCATTTCAGATTAATCATCTTAGAGTTTCAGGATCTCGCAAATGAGTTAATCGGTAACTCAGATGCTTATCAGCCTCTCTTGGCCGTTTAGTCCTATCTTGCAGAGCTGGGCAGTTTTTTCTTTATCTTTTTTTAATAAGTAACCACCACCCTAAGAGAATAAATACACCTGTTGTTGCAAAGCACAAGTAACCCTCCATTTTTCATTTTTCATTTGCTGAATCTATTCCGCAGGGAATGAGCTCATTTTCTGCCAGGTCAGAGGCCTAGATGCTCCAGCTTAGCAAACTCTTTGATTTCCAATAAAATGATTCCACACACAAAAACTGAAGACTTTTAGGCCACATTGTGTACCACTTCATACTAGAGGCAGAGACTAGCATGATGCTCTTCAATACCCAAAAATAAATGAATAAATAACGGAACCCTTAACCAAGAAAATTAGCATGTCAGGGAGAGGATTATACCTAATCCTATCTCCTTGACAGGCTAGCTTTCCACATCCTGTATAGAGGGGGACAGTCGGTCCCATGAACCCCACTTGCAGTCTGAAGCACTACAGCTCAGACACAAGTTTATTGTCTCAGATGTGTGCATTAGGAAAAGGATGGAGAACCCACAACCTTCCAGATGTCATAGGGCTACAAATCGCATCATTCTCAACCACTGGCCAGGCTGGCAGGGGCTGATGGGAGTTCGCAAAACTGGAAGAGCGCAGTTTGCCCATTCCTGCCTTAGGAAAATACCTTCTGCAGACTGGGAGACTCAGCGCGTACCTGAGCTGAAGGATGCAGATAAAAGGACAAAGGAGGTAAAAAAGGCCTTGTAAGGAGCCCAGAGGAACCCTGTTAAACTGGGGATAACATCCAAGAGGAATCTCTCTATGTAGCTTGTTCTTTTCCTTGGTTTCCTGTCCATTGGCTTGTCAGTGTCTTTGGTTGTCTGCTTTAGCCATGTGCTCCCAGATGGCATCACTTTTGCAATGAAGACGAACTGGCATTGAGATCCATATCGCCTGCCTTTCCATCTCCTTTAGAATGAGACTAAGTGAGAGGTGGACACGGGTGGCGCTGTGGGTTAAACCACAGAGCCTAGGGCTTGCCGATCAGAAGGTCAGCGGTTTGAATCCCTGCGACGGGATGGAAGGAACAATATTTGGACTTGCAGTGGACCTTTGCTCAAGCAGGGCAAAGGAAAAGCACACCAAGTTAGCTGTGTCAGTGATGCACAGCAGAGCAGTTTGGTGACCAACCTAGTCACCCAGCTCTCCAGGTTTTCAGAAACATGACACATGAGCAGGGCAATAAGATAGCCATAAAACCATGGCAGCTGGGAAGACAAAACCTCCAACATCTCTCCGGTGAACATAGGGACGCCCTATTCCATACCCTTCATCATTTCTCTGATGAAAATAGGGATGTCCTAAGTAAAGGCGAGGGGCGTGGGTGGCGCTGTGGGTTAAACCACAGAGCCTAGGGCTTGCCGATCAGAAGGTCAGCGGTTCGAATCCCTGCGACGGGATGAGCTCCCGTTGCTCAGTCCCTGCTCCTGCCAACCTAGCAGTTCGAAAGCACGTCAAAGTGCAAGTAGATAAATAGGGAAGGTAAACGGCGTTTCCGTGCGCTGCTCTGGTTTGCCAGAAGCGGCTTAGTCATGCTGGCCACATGACCCAGAAGCTGTACGCCGGCTCCCTCGGCCAATAAAGCGAGATGAGCGCCGCAACCCCAGGGTCGTCCACGACTGGACCTAACGGTCAGGGGTCCTTTTACCTTTACCTTAAGTGAGAGGTGTGCACAAAACACTGCGTGTGGAGTGCTGCTATTTGGCGTGCCAGTCATGCTTCTTCTAGGACACTCCAATTCTGTTCCCCCTCCTCCAGTTTTCTGCCCCTCCCTCAGTCAAGCTGCATGCACAATTCCTCAAGGAGCAGCATTTCCCCCCCACACACACTCTTGGAGTTTCCCCCCATAAGCTCCCCCCCCCCGTCTATTTTTTTTATCGTTTTTTTTAAAAAAAAATTATTTGATTTTACAAGTGTAAAGTTATAACAATACCAAATACATAATCATATTTAGAGATTTCTCTGAATCTCCAGACTTCCCCCAATCCCCTCTTGTCAACATTTTCAACTGCGTATTATTTCATATTCTGTTTTTTTGTATCTCTCCATATTGTCCATAGTGTTTGTTACATTACAAGTGAGATTAAAACCCTGCTAATGTTTTCATCTGCTTGCAGTGGCCTCCTAAACAAATTATAATTTCCCCCATTCTTTCTTGAAGTTTTTGTTTTCTTGGTTCCTGAGCTTTCTGGTCAGGTTTGCCATTTCGGTGTAGTCCAACAGCTTGGTTTGCCCTTTCTCTCTGGCAGGGACTTTGCCTTCTTTCCCCCTTAGTTTACTTTTGCAAATTTTAAGATTCCCCTAAAGCTGTGAATGGTGCTATTTGTACTGGGCTCGATGACCCTCGCCATCCTTGCTAACTCGACAATCTCGTCTCTCTCTGTGTGTGTAATTTCCATTATTAACATTTCCAAAATCACATTCACGTTCAATATACATTTCCACCGTTAATGTTTTATTGTGCTTTCAATTGTTTTATTGTGCTTTTACTATTCTGCTGGGAGCCGCCCAGAGTGGCTGGGGAAACCCAGCCAGATGAGTGGGGGTATAAATATTATTATTATTATTATTATTATTATTATTATTATTATTATTATTATATTTCTTTCAATAAAAACATTCAATGGCTTCCCTTATCACCCTTCCCTGGTTCTTTTAATTTCTCCACCATTCCTGCATATACCTTATATGTACATTTAGATCACTTTCTCCTCTTATTCTCCCTTTATGATATATTATACGGTTGAATTTACCTTAACCCTGCTAGCTTTTTCACTTGTTTACAGTTATTTTCCAGATACTCCACAATTCCCCCACTCTTCTTTATATTCTTGGTCTTCTTGCTCTCTTATTTTTACTTGTTAGACCTGCTAACTCTGCATATCCTGTCATCTTTATTGCTGATCCTCCTTTTTAGGGAACCTCACTCACTCACAAAAAATTGTGAGTTGGCTAATATGCCCCGCTGGAGGAAGCGAGGGCCGAATGAGTTCTTGCTGAAAATGCCTCAGACATATTTCTGAGTCAACCGGGTTCAACAAGCCAACATGTGACGGTTTGCAAAAGGAGGCTTCTGAGGGCATTAGCAAGAAGGTCCAGAGACGAGATGAGCTGCAGAAACACACCCAGAAACGTACACAGCTACGTGGGGATCATATGCAATTAAAGGATTCATTGAAGGTTAAAACTTGTACAAGCAGGAAGACAGCCGCTGTTTCTGCAGATTGCATCAGATTGCAGAATGATCTTAAGGCATGTGTCATAGGGTCACGGGAGCACGACCCCATCCTTGGCGTCGTACCTGGTGCGCATGCCTCCATGTGCAAGAATGCAACATGGGAATGAAAGGTTGTAACCTGGCATGGGGAGTTGCATCAGCCAGGCGTTGGGAAACGGGGCAGAAGGAGGGGTTGCAAGTGAAAAACACCCAGAAGGGTGTTGGGTATTTTCCTCACAACACACCTATCACATCTCCCTTTTAAACCATCCAATGTCCTGCTTTATTATCTCCCACTTGGACTACTACAATGCGATCTACATTTGAAGATGGCCTGGAAACTACGATTAATCCAGAATGCGGCAGCTAGGCTGGTGACTGGGAGTGGCCACCGAGACCGTATA